TAGATAGATAGATAGATAGATAGATAGATTAGATAGATAGATGATAGTTAGGTAGAGACTCAGAGAGAGAGCTAGGTAGATGATTTAGATCAGGGGTGTCAGACTCAAGGCCCAGGGGCTGGATCTAGCCTGAGGGGTGCTTAGATCTGGCCCACCCTGGAAACAGTGAAGAACCGGTCCACGGTGCCTCTGCCAGTGAAAACAGAGCTTGGGAGGGCGATGCGCAGCGTGCCCGGGCTCCTTTGTCGGCCGCGATGGTCTCCTGCAGCCCTCTGCCAACAAAAACAGAGCCCGGGCCAGCCACACACGGCCTCCCTGAGCTCTCTATTTTTTGGCAGAGGGTTGTAGGAGGCTGCATGTTGCCCATACAATTACATTTAATAGACGGGTGAGGAAATGCAGAGCAATAGATTTGTAGGTAATTTGTTGGATTGTTTGGTGTTTACAGTACTCCATAAATGAAAAACTCAGAAAGAGTGGAGAACTCTTTAACAGTATTGCTGCTTCTCACATGAAGCAAGAGGAGATGTGCTGTCTTGGTCCCGCTCCCTTTCTTTGAAGCTGCAGTCATAATTGCAACCAAGGGCTTTCTTTAATATGCAGAGAGTGGAGAACTGAAGTCTGGTTAGATACGGGTCTATTTTCAAAGTTAAAATCGGCAAGCTTCATTCATTTTTAATATTTAGGAGCCTCTGCAAACATGTGTTTAAATGTGCATTTGGGGACTGAGACAAGCAGGGTTAGAGGTACCTGAACATGGGATGAATCTTCATTGGTTGATAACCTATGGTACTATGGTATTATGATTGTAATAGTATAATTGTGGATTGCAGATATTTTTGATAATATCAAGAATGTTTTATGTTTTTAAAATTGTTGTATTTATATGTAGTTTGTAGGCTGATTAGAGTCAGATATTGATGCGGCTTCAAAGCGAATGAATGAATGAATGAATGGATGAATGGATGAATGAATGAATGAATGAATGAATGAATGAATTCATATTTTCACAAAATGACCCTCTTTGTATTGGACCTTACAGATGGGTAACGAATGAAGACAGCCTTGCTCCACAAGAGCCCTCATTCTTTTGTGATGTCTGTTTCCAAACACTCCATTATGATGCAGATGGGAACAAGCTGGGAGAGTTCCTTGCTTATCCTTATGTTGATCCAGGGATTTTCAACTGAGCTCAAGAAGAAAGGAAATTAAATAATATGGGGTATCATCTGCTTCAGTGCCTGTTGGAACATGAATCATCCAGTACTGTAATTAAGCATTGGACAACGTATGGAACATTTTTTATTTTTACACCTTGATCTTCCAGAAGAATAACTTGGCAAAGAAAAGACATGATCATAATGGTGTTCTTGCTCCAGTTTGGCACCCTGGGATATTGGATCCTTATTCATCTCTCTCTTATTTGGTTTTGAAGGGCAGAACAAAGTTTTTTGAAGGATATTGTCACATTGTTGGATTTTTTTTTAGTTTTGTTGAGTTTTAATATTAACTTTGCTAATAAATGTTTTCTGTATTTTAGTTAGCAACCATTTTTTTAGGGGTTGTGATACTTAGCACAGCATTTCAGGATCGCAAAATTGACAGTTTGATGCTTGGATCTCTCCCATGTTGTTGCTAACGCTCTCTTGGGCTTCTCTCTATGAGAGATTAGGCATTGCTAGATAGACAATAAAGCTGTGCTGCCACAGTTTAATACTGCTATTTCACATTTTGAGAATTCACGTGCAGCTCAGTTGCTTTGAGTGGCTGACCTTTCAAATTATATTTATTTAAATATAATTGGATGGGTCTTTTATTTAATAACTTGCCTCCTTGGACTATTTTCCTAACTTTTCTTCTATCCTTTCTGTGGTCCTCTTGCCATTAGTGCCTTTGTTTCTTTTCTCTCAAACCATCCCATTTCCTTGTTTGTCTTTTATTCCTTCTCACATTTATTCTCCGTTCCTGTAGGCCTTCCCCATCTTTTCGTCCTTCTGTTCTTCCAGGTAACCCTCTTTTTTTCAATGCAGAAACTCTGTACACCCATGAGCTCCATCTTACAGATGTTAATACTGTATATGCTGATTCTTACATTCATGTTTAATACATTAAACTCTGTGCAATAAACTGTTTTGTAATTTTTTTTTACAAACTTGGAAAAAATCATCTCACCGTATCATAAGCATTAAAAAAAATATTTTTGTTGCGTTGTGAAAATAGCTTGACCCCCCCTTCCTCTCTGTGGCAGCCCCTCAAATATCGGAAGACTGCTCAATGTTTGTGGCTGTTGTATCAAGACTTTTAAATTAAAACTTTAAAGAGACAAAAATAGTGCCAGCAACTTTCTGAAAAACTGTACCTATTCCAATGTACACACAACGAAAAAAAATATTTTGCCAGGGAATGCTAGGGAAGGTAAGTGTCCCAATTACTACCTCACCACTGCTAACTTACGTTGTTGCTGCTGTTGATTTTTTTTGAAAACTCAGTAAGTAGAGTTTTCTTGGCACACAAACCAAAGGATAAGACTCCCCAGCTTCTCAACCAACAGAACTTTATGTTCACAGTGTCCTGGCTTGCCCTGGAGACCAAAGTTCAGATTTAGAATAGGTCACATGTAAAAGTGGTTTTGATTGTCACAGATTAATCCCTGATGGGTATTTATGTGACTTGCAACCATCCAAATGTTGTCAGCTTCTGAAAGAACCTGATTTGATAAAGCTCCTTGCTCTTGCAGGTAATAAGAGCCAATAAAATCACATACAGCTAGACAAAGCAGAGAGGTGACACTTTTCTAATAAAGCTTTGGAAGCAAAATATCTCTACAATCTAATCCATTCTATATTTTGTCTCCACTGTACCATATAAGGAAGTGAGATTGGTTTTAGTGGAAATTGTGCCTCAGACTTTAGTATTAACTTTCATTTCTATTAAGGTAGTCTTCAACTTATACCACAATGGAATTTTGGTCATAGGTTGTTGCAGTCACAAGTGGCTTCCTTGCAAGCAGTCACGATCAAGTTTCCGGAGGGTAGAAAGCAGCGAGTCTTGAACTTGTGCAATGGGGCTAATTTAATGGTTGCTGCTCTATGCAGAAACGCATCCTTTCAAGATAACATCAACATTTTTGCCTTTGTTCAGCAATAATAGGACAGTCATCATCCTATTTGCGTTCCTCCTTTTGAAACGGTATTTTCCAAAGCACCCGAAAGCCAGACAAGGAACAATGGATGGAAACTGAACAAGGACAGATTTAATCTGGAAATAAGGAGATGCTTTCTGACTTGAGAACAATCAACCAATGGAACAGAAGTTGTGGGAGCATCATCACTTGAGACTTTCAGGAAGAGATCGGACTGCCATTTGTCAGAAATGGTGTAGGGCTGGGGGTTGGACTAGATGACCTACAAGATCCCTTCCAACTCTGATTATCTGCTATCTGTTATTTATTTGACAAAGCAAAGCAAAAGAAATGATGCAGAATGCATTAGTGGGGGAAGGCCACTATAGTTCATGGATATTAGAACAGGGATTGGCAACATGGTGCTTGAGCACCCATTGCGCTCTTCCTGAATGGAATGGTTTTAGACCAGATCTGTAAATAGCCATAGCAATAAGACTTATATACTGCTTCACGGTGCTTTAAAGCCCTTTCTAAGTGGTTTACAGTCAGCATATTGCCCTCCCAAACAATCAGGCTCCTCATTTTACTGACCTTGGATGGATGGAAGACTGAGTCAACCTTGAGCCGATCAGAATCGAACTGCTGGCAGTTGACAGAGTTAGCCTGCAATACTGCATTGCAACCATTGTGCCACCACAGCTGCAAGCTTTTTCTTTTGCCTAGGATCATCCAACCCTATAAAGAGTCAGAAAAAAATGGCTGACTCCTATACTAAAAGAAAAATAGAAGAGGTGGTCCTTGTTTAACAACCACTCATTTTGCAACCCATTCATGCCCACAATGGTGCTGAATGAGTGGTATTTATGACTGGTCCTTGGGATTCCTGCCATCATGGTGTCAATATTTGTAACCTCCTTTGCTGGCTTCCGACAAACAAACTATAGGTAAGCCAGCACGAGTTAAAAATGGCAACTATGTGAGATCATCATCTGATAACCTAGATCACTGGTGATACGTCACGTGGCATCACAACTTTTCCCCCCTTCACTAAACGGAGTGGGCAGGGCCAGTGTGTGACACCTGACCTAAATTGATTTGCTTCATGACAACAGCAATGGGGAGTGACGGAATTGCTGCTGCTAAGCCATGCAGTCATGTGATGTCCTTTCTGACTTCGTTGCTTAGTGACAGCTATTGAAGTCCCATTATTAACCAAGGACAACAGTCAAGAATTGTAGAGTGTACTACCATTTGGTGGAGCAGCCATTAAGGCCTTGGAAAAAGATATTCCAAATTTGTGATGTATCTATACCCACAAAGACCAGAATTGTGCAAGCCACCGTATTTCCCCTGACCCTTTATGGAAGTGAAGGTTGGACTTTGAAGAAGCAAAATAGCACCAGTATTGTCTCTTTTGAACTTCGGTGTTGGAGAAAACCTGAGAATACTGTGGACAGCCAAGGAAATTTACAAATACAACATCAAACCAATTGACCCAGAATGTACATTCAGCCTGGCACGATGGACCACACTCAAATTATCCTTATTTGAAAACAATATGCAAAGACCCAAGTCTCTGGCAAAGGTTCTAATGCTGGGAAAGGTGGAAGGAAAAAGAACAAAAGGACGACCAAGAATAAGGTGGATGGACTCGGCTACAGTGGTGATGAGTGCACTGTTGGAAAACCTGAAAGACCAGGTTAGGAATAGATTATTGTGGAGAAAATCTAGGCAACTTCTAGGACTCAAAAATGACTTGCTTGCCACATGATAAATCAGCGGTAAGAAAAATCTGAGTTACAAATCAGCCACAGTTCTAGATCCCGAGAACATCCAAAATGAGTACATGCTTCAGTATCTGCAAGTCTAGAGTATGAACTGGGGAAATAGGGCTTGCAAATCATTTCCATCCGATCAGCCACTATTAAAGACTTTGCGTGTGTAGGTCTGTAGGTGTATGTTACGCTGGCTCTGTTGCATCCCAACCTTCACTCCTGCATCAGGTTTGCACAATGAACAATAAATTGGGTAGAAAACATTACAACTCTTAATTCCACCAATCCCAGGAGCTGCCATGGGAACAGCTGGGTCTGGTTTGTATTTAAGGAAGAAATGACTCCTCTGAGTCTCCCCAACCAGAGGACCCAGCTGTCAAATTCTAATTAAATTTTCCTCCCACCAGCTGTGGATTTGTGTTTTGGCCACTTGTTTAATGATGTTAGCATTTAAGTGGTCAAATATCAAAGCCCAGATTGTAGCAAAAAATTTTTTTTCTTCTCTTCAGATCTGATTTAACAGATTTAACCTTACACCGTCTACTATTGACCTCACCCCTTTCCTAAGAGGTCTGTAGGGGGCATGCATAAGCGCACCAACGTGCCTACTGTCCCTGTCCTATTGTTTCTTTTTATTTTTATGATATGTATCCATTTCATGTATTCATAACTATGTTGATACTTATACCTATTATCTTGTAAACAATTGACAAATCAAAATAAATAAAAATAAAAATCTGGTTCATTACCAGGGGAGAGACTACATTTTGGTTTGACTCATCATATTTATGCTGTGACGATTTAGGATTAGGTGTTCTCCATCCTTAAAATATGGTGGATATCGGGGCAATTTAAACCTGTTTAAAACAAAAGTTTAAATTCCCGTATTGGTTGAAACGGGGAGGGGCAAAATAATGCAATGGGGACAAAAGAACCATGTTACAGTACTTGCAAAATGAAACTTTTTTTCCTGAGTTTACAAAGGTAAGTGCATGACTTATAACTCAGCATTGTAAGATTGCATTCCTTGTGTATTTTTTAATACACAGAACTATATTCAGAATTTTCAGCTAAATGCATTCTTCTTCTCTGGGATTTGGTTAAATGTGGCTTAATATACCGATTTTTGCACCCCGCAATCCTGGGTCTTACGCTTGCTTTTGTTCCCATCCTCTAAAGCCGTGCTGCTTTAATCTCAGCAACTTTAAAATGGGTGGACTTCAGTCAACTTGCTAGGGAATTCTGGAAATCGAAGTCCATACATCTTAAAAGTGGCAGATTGAGAAACTCACTCTAACAAGCCTAATTAATTGCTTGCTTGAATACATTATTGTGGCAATTTACATGGAGATGTGAAAAGGTACTTCTATTAGGGGAGAAAGAGGCCTCATCCAAAGAACAATTGCAGATTAGATGCTTCTAGTTTCAAACTAAAGCAAAGGTTTGCAGAAGGAGAGTTTCAGCAGCAGGTTGCCATGTGCTCCTTTTCTGAATGTTGCATTTCTAGACTTCATATTTCATGTTTTGAATAAATAAATTCTGGCCTAAAAAGCATTCGACTCACTCCATAAGATAGCATGTCTCTAAACTGTCCAAATCTTTTTTTAGTTAGGAGAATGGGATTTTTTTTTTTAAAAAAAATCAAACTCTGCCCTGTTGATTCTAGAATTCTCCTCCCACATTTTTAATCTTATTTTAAATCTATTATTTCCTTGATTTGCAAGAAGCAAAAAAAAATAAAAGAACACGTTTATTTCTGCACAATAAAAGCTCGGCTTGGGCAGTCCCCAGGCAGAGATTTCCCAGAAAATGTTGAATCAGAACATTTTTCCATGGAAATGACTATGAGTCAGACCAGCATATCCTCAGCCTTCATAGTCTATACTTTTTTGGGCAATATTATCCGATGTGGACGAAAGAAATGTTGTCTACGGAATATTTTGTATTTTAAGAAACAAAGTTCTGCTCTTTGGAGAAAAGCTTTTGAATGGCAGATTGGAACAATTTCAGAAATGGGCCTCTCTCAAATGATACTGCTCTTTCAGCTTTTCCTCCTATGGCTTTCGGTTTGAGGGCTTGTGTGATTTCAGATTTTCTGTACTGCAGGTGTCCACAGGATGATCATAATATAATGACACGTTTAAAAAACAGGCAGAATCTCAATCGCATCGCCTTGCTTCTTCTGACCCTGTCCTGTGGACCGCAATGGAACCATTGGCCACAGCTGCCTGGCCTTGCCCACTTCACCCCGGTACCCCTGCCGGCCCACCAAAGGCGTTCCTACCTGGCTGCCCTTCCCCCCTCCTTGTGACCCCGTAGATACACCTGCTATATACTCTTGTGTCTTCAAACCCATTGTCCACCTTTATGTGTTTCTTGCATTGTGCTTTCATCCAGTCTACTGCAAGCTCTATTGGGAGGTGGTGGGGGCAAGAAGTTGTGAAACTTAAGAAACAGCACTTTTATTATTGCAACCTATGCTTTTGATGGAAAAGTCAGCTATTGAGCAGCTTTTCCACTTATACCCACCTACTGCAGAGGATCTTAGATAGCTGGAGGATTACATTTCTTTCCTGACATTCAGCCAGGAAGTAATATTAGAGTAGCATCCTTATGTTTTACCTTTCATGTAGGTTGGGGCTGAGTAGTAGCCACCAGGCTGTCTTCTCAGCTCTTTATTGCAAAATCCTTAAGTCTGAATTATGTAATTGCCACCTGAAACCTACCAGTTTTTCTGGTCATTTTTATTTCCAAAACTGTATGAGAATTGGATGGATATTATATTTAGGACTCTTTCCGTGCAAAGCCTGATACGTCTGAACTCATTATTTGTATATATCCAAAGAGAAAGGTTAAAAAAATAAGAATGTTACCTCAAGTATTGCTTTTGAACGTGCTCATGTTTTTTTCCCTACTGTATGCCTATTTTTATATAAATACAAAGCACTAAGGGAGCTATGTATTTACAATCCTCGTGGGTTTGTAGATTTAAGATGTAGATAATAGTTTCCATGATGTTTCTCTAAACTTCCCATACTTGAGTGAAGCTGTATTCCTTGGTAACAGCAGATACATAAATTGGAATACACTGTAAGAGGAAAGAATTATTATCTTGCATTCTGCTAATAAATAGCTTTCAACCGAGGCAAATTCTCTCAGAGAACAAGAAATACTTGAAAGAGGAGTGGCAGGTCCCAGAGAGGAAATGAACCATGAGACAATGCAGCGTTTAGTTTCATTAGCAGTAACATTGGGGACAAGGAAGAGGCCTCCCTGAAGAATGTAGGGATCACTTGGGCGTCCCTTGGGCAATGATATAGAATCAGCTAATTCTTCCACAACAGCAGCCAGACAAATTCAACTTCATGCTCATTTGTATGTTCTATTCCACATCTTATTACTGTTTTACATTTTCTACATAGCTTCTCCCCTCTTTTAATTTTCTCAATTTTATTTTAATTATCTCATCTCAATTTAAACCATTATATTTATATTTTTTGTCTGTCCTGTTTCAATTATCTATTATCTTTTTTCATTAAACAAAATTTATCCTGTAGTTACTGATTGGAGTATGACGCCTTTATATCTTTTAGGTTTATCCATTTAATTCTTATTTAGGCTTCAATATATACCCTAAAGTTATAACATTCAATATAACACATAACTTCCATTCGGATTCTGCTTGGTACATTCTTAAAATACACACTATATTCTTAAAAAAAGAAAAAATTATAAATGTATGTAATTAAAACAACACATTCCATTCCAATTCAATTCTATCATTAATATTAATATTCATTAAAATCTTAACTTCTTTAACATTACTTTTCAATTAAATATCATACTTCTATGGGAACAATTATAAACTTTCCATTGTTAATTCCCCCCCTTCACTTATATTTTATAAAACATTGACTAATTAAAATGTTCCCATTCCTTCCTAATTCAATTTTCTCATTTATTTTATTTCACTTATTTTATTCACAAACATTTCACTAAATTACACTATTTTATCCCTCATTTTAATCATACAGTTTCCAATTTTCTAGTTATTTCTATTACTAATATACAATCTTATGTACCTTTACAGAATCCCTTTTTCAGTTAGATTTTCACCCATTATCTCTAAATAGGTCCTGTTTCTCTATATCTTGTTCCGGTCCTTTGTAACTTCTTTTCCTTTCCTTCTTCCCTCTTTTCTTCTCTCTCCCCTTTTTACCCCCTTGTCTCTCTACCTCTATTTCTCTCTTCTGAATTCCGCTTTTCTTTTGCTTTCCAGTATTATACTTATTTTTCGAATTATTTTTCTTTTCTTTAGTTGTTTTTTTAAATCTTAAATTCTCCATTCTCTTTCCCCCCTTTCCTTTTTCTTCCCCACATAAAATTACTTGTTCATTAAAAATGGCTCTCTTCCTGGGGTTACTGTTTAGTTACAAAGTTTCAGTTAAAATGTATCTTTTAGAAGTCTTGTTGAAGTTTTACTGTAGATTCTTTTTAATTCCAGGCAGTCTCCTCCCTCTTCCAGATCCTGCCCTTATTCTTTTTCTCTCCCTTCCTGCTTATGAAAAAAAAATTTTTAGTGTCCAGAAATCTTTATTATCCATTTGACATTTTGTTTTATTTTCAGCTTAATTGCCTGTTGATGTCAAAGCGGATTTTTCCGATTTCTTATTTAAGTCTCTTAGTTGTCAGTATAGGGAAGGGGAGAGAAGAAGAAAAAAACCCAAACCTTTCCCTTTTCACTTTCCTTCGCTGCTTCCGATTCTTCTTTGGGAGCGATGTTATTTTTTTTGTAAGTTTAAATTCCAGGGTACCTTAGTTGTTGCTTTTACAATTTAACCCGGTCAGCCAAAACTTTCACTTATCTTCCTCCTACACGTTCTTTTCCAGTCGAGTTCTTCTTTGTGGTGGCCATTTCTGACCACCGTTGCAACCGCCTTCGGGAAAGGGAGTAATGGCCAGCTGAGGAGGAGAGATGCGGCTCTCCTCGACCCTGCTGGCGGTCTCCCCCCTCTTCACCACCTCTACGGGGTGGCTTTGCCCCGAAACCAGCCAGCTCGGAGTGCTCCAGCAGCGAGCCCAGACCGAAACCACACACGATCACGGATTTCTGTCTGTCGCCAAAAAGACTTCAAACCGGAAGCTATAACTTTATCAGTGATAAAATGACCTATTCCAAAAAAGCGCATTAAAAAAAACCCTCAAGAGTACTACTACTTTTAATTTTTGTGGCATCTCTGAGTAACACTGACAAAGGCTTCCTTCTGGAAAGCCTCTCTGGGTCCAAAAGTTGTGGGGTTAGTCAAAAGTACATGGATTCTTAAAAGTGTCTCCAAGGTTTTCTAGTCTAATCAGGAGAGTTTCAGCATTTACAGCTTGAATGTGATTATGTTAAACCTAACCATATTCCCATTTCCACATTTAAGGTTCTGAAGTACTGTAGCATCAAAAAGTGCTTTGTGAAATATATTACAATTATTTTAAATGTAATAGTGCCACCTGCTGTCCTTGTAGCAACATTAGAACTAGTTATAAGAAATGCAATAGAATGTTTGAAAGTTTGAAATAGAATGCAATTTTTGCCTCAAGAAATACAGATTTGTTTGTGTGATAATCAAGCTCAGTGCTTTAGTTCTCCAGGTCAACCTATGATCATGCTCACTTTTGCACTTTTTTCAGGGGGCAGGCTGTGTTTTGCTGGCATAGATGTATACACATACACATCTGTGAATTCTCAGTACAGTCTATATGACATCCTTTCTTTGATTACATGTGCATCCCTCACAGACAAGAATAGAAGTCATACACATTTTAGCCATCAATTACATAAAGTATACTTAATTTGTTGAATACCTTTAAGTGTCAATTACAATACAAATACTTCAGTGGGTTTTTTTTTTACTTTGTGAAAATGAACACTGAAAGAGTACTTAAATCCTCACAGAGACATTGGGACTGAACTCTCCATATTTGCCATGAAGCAAAATATATGACTTTTAGTCACTATAATTTAGTCTTTTGCTACAACGTTCTAACCTTGTAAAGAGCAACAAGGATCAAAATGGAGTGGAACGTGAGAAATATTTGCCTAGTTTTGTTGACTCATTTGAGAAGTACTCTGTTTACTTCAGGTTGTACAGTTTTACCTTTCCTTAAACATGACAATGAGACCCAATTTGTTAAAAAGTTTTAAGAGCAATATTTTAAACTAGTCATTGTGGGCATATATCTTTGATATAGCAATAGTCGGTCATAAGGTTAGAATCAACTGAGATATTGCTAGTTAAAATGTATAGTTTTTTCCTGCATAACTTTAATTAAAAAATCATTTTAAGACAATATGTTGTGACCAATGTGCATCAATGCCAACTGAGATACATAAGCATCTTTAGTACAGTATTAAGAATACAGAAAGCAGGAAGTCAAGGCATATTAAATTGGCACGATTACCTTCGAAGAACAAAACTAGCTTCTTTTTTAATAAACCAAATGAATATACTCATACATAACATCTCCAATGCTACAAAATTTGCTCAGCTTCTTACAAAACACAGTAAACCGACACTTTGGCAAACAACAGCTCTGAAAACTATACACAGAAAAACAGGGATAAAGTAGATTTATACAAGTAGAGCATTTTGGCAATTTAAAAGAAAAGTTACTTTTTTATCATTAATCAAAAGGTAAAACATACAGTAGTCAGTAAAATTACTATGGAACTAATCCTGAAACATATAAACACTTTTCAATCTCTAAAATAATATGCTCTTTTCATCTGAACTGTATTGATTGTTAATACTGAGCCAAATGCTATCAGGATGTTTAAATACTTTAAAACAATGTTAAAGGTAGACTCTCCATATCCCTCACAAATTGTACACATTAAAATATTATTCCTATAAAATTATTTAAAAGTTATAGCATTCTCCAGCTGCCAACCCTTAAGTCCTCTTTAATATGTACTTTACAAAAAAGTATGTTTCATTTATTCATTTTCAGTGGTGGGACCCTTTGTCTTTTCTTGTTCTCTTCCATCACCAGTCATCCTATAGAAGAAACACAGTATCAATTATGGAAAACTTCACTTTTGAATAACTTTGCAAACAAAAAACTATTTTGTATCTTTCTAAAAGATATAACTTGACTTGTTTATAAGTGTGTTTGTTCTATAAAATATCTAAGTATAGTACATACAGTATAAGAACACTGAGTAAAAAATAAAACTATAATATTTCATTTCTGCTATTCAGAAGAAGCAAGCAAGAGGTTATATAAAACAGAAGAAAATATTAAGATTATAGTAGAACAAATAAAATTATGACATCTGGATTTTGGATCTGCGCCTTGTGCCAAACAGATACTAATTTTCAAAGAAAAACTGGAAAAAGGATGGAATCAAGATTCAAAATGCACATTCACTAGGGTATTGCACGGTTGGTTATTTTCCAAATCCAAAATGCTATCACAATCAGCAGCCTTCTAAAAACATTTTCTTGTTCATGAGTTGATTATGCATACTTTATAACTTGAAGATTGCTAAAGTATTTTCATTCTTTTTTTAGGATAGGAAACCTATTACTTACTTTTTCTTATTGCCAGAATCTAGCTTCTCTTTTTTTTCATCTGTGGTGTCCCCGTTTTGTTGTGACTGGTTTGTATCTTGACCTTCAGAAGCACCATTCATTACCTTTGTACCTTTAACGTTTAAAAAAAAATCTTTTATCAGCATGTTAAATTATACAAAAAATAACAGTTAATTATACATCTATGCAAATCGAATTATTTTGAGCCTTGATTTATCATTGTTTCACTGTGAATGAAAGGAGGGAATAATTCTTTATTCAGTTTTAGGTACATATTGTTTTTATTCAATTTCAGGTACATTTTATAAAGAATCTCTAAATCCTATAAAGGTAGATGGAAGGTTAACACATCTAACCTTGTAGAAAAGCTTGGGACATTGTGTTGATTGATGTACAGGAGAAATCGGAATAAAACTGCTGTTTTCTAGTTTGGGTGATATTGAGCACAAAGTTGGACCCAATTTAATTATGTCCCAACTTGTTATTTATTGTATTATTTACAGTAAGATATTCTAAGAAGCTTGCTATTCTCCTACAGGGTGTTCTTGACTTATGACCTTTTATTTAACAAAAGTATGAAGTTACAACCTAAAAAAAAATGACTTGCAACCCACCCAAAATGAAATTTGCATAGCCCAAAAACAACAATATCATACATCTATGTGTATGTGTGTATATACATTTCAATATTAAATTTGTTTTTAATATTTAAATACTTTACTACTTCTCCAAAATTTAATGTGATAAGAGTGTTTACATTCTGATCTTCAGTATCAATGTATTTTTATACTTAATTCATAGATCTCAAACTGACATATAAAAGAGTCACAGATGTTTATTGTCACAGTTGGGACAATAAACATATACATTTTAGTGAATTGCACAGACCTGTTTGTTCTTTGTCTTTTTCAGATTTCTTGTTTGATCCTTTCTTCCACTGTTCTTTGGTTTTGTTTGCTTCTTCATGCTGTTTTTGTTCAGCTAATGACTTATTTAGTACTTGTGAAAGAACAGAATCGCCCTCCCCAACAAGAAACATAGTCTTGAATTTGTTATACAGCATAGTGGATTTTTCCATTATAATCTGGCTAACCTTAAACTTTCGTATCTGAAAAGATATTTGGGGGCGGGGGGGAGCATACATTTATAAATGAGAGTACAACATGTAGCTGTTCAATGCCATATTTTGTGAAAACAGTTCGTAATGGATAAACCAATGGACCACTCATGGTACTAAATTCTAGTTTTAATCATGAAAAATGTAAGATTATAATGAAAATTCATAAAAAGATTTATTATTTTTAATTAGCTACTGATCTTACTTTTTTGAGTGTGGAAATCATTTCTGCATGCTTCTGAGCTTGTTGCATTGTTACTTGAAGTGATGCAAGTTCATCCAAAGCCTCAATGCATCTGTTCACATCCTATTAAAACAAGATCCAAACGTTTCATTTCTTAGGGGGGAAAACTCACTACTGCTACATACCAATTCGTCAAGACATAATTAAATATATGCATGAGTTTAATCTAATTTTACAGGAGAAATAATTAAATGATTTCATTATTCATTGAAGTTTTATAATATAATTCTATTTTACAGCTATTTTAGTATCTGTATAGTGCCTCAAGTTTATGAGAATTGTACTAGTAATAGATTGCATAAATGCTTTAAGCAAGCTGCTCTAAAGTGGATCAAAAATCATCATATGAAAAAGGTGAAACGAATTATGTACCAACTTTGCTTTGTGACAAAATTTGCAGCTTTTTTTTTTTTTTTAAAGACTCATTACAAAATGGAGTCAATACATACAAGATGGTCAATCTGGAGTGAATTCTTTATTTCGGCATGTATCCTTTGGAGCCGAGAATCCATTGATGTCTCTAAATGTTAAAAAAAAGAAAAAGGTTATTAAGGAATAAGTATTTTGAACATTTTAAAGTAAATGGCAGAATATATATCAAAAGGGATGAACCAATTTGAATTATACTCAAAATAATTTTGCAAAAGAAGTTTTACGCATATGTCTGAAACATAGGGAATGCTATTTGCTCTTTTACAGGGAAAATAAAACTGTTTTTAACAAAATCAATTGTTCAAAGCAACATTACTTATGTTCTCTACATATAGAAGAATAAATAGATAACCAAGCTATATGAGAGTATAATAATAAAGATCCTGCAATGTTATTTTATAGCTCACTTTTTCTTTGGTATCTAATGCAGAATATGTATCATCCTACAGCAAGAACTTGGGAAGTAGGTTGGGTTGAGAAGCGTTAACTACCTGAAGGTGGATGGTCCCTAGCAATTTCATAGTTCAATCTACAAAGCACAGCAAATACTATGCAATATACAAACAGGAGCAGCAAATCTTGACCACTATTGCAGCTTTCATGATATAAAGCAATTGTTTCTTCCTGTTCAGGCAGAAAGAAATGATGAAAAAGTAGCAAATTGCCTCTATATGATTTCATTCAGAAGGTTAGCACATTAGCACATTACCAAGTAAAAAACACTTTAAGAATTGGAAAACAAACTTTGACTACTGACCTCGTTTTTTCTCTATCTTCTTAATTTCTGGTTTCTTGCATTCTTCTCTATTCTGCCTATCCAAAATATTCAATTTAAATTAGATTACAGATTCAAAGAATGAGTCCAATGCCAAGCTAATCATTACGGAGTAAATAATTAACTTGAATAATGACCCATTTGTTTCAGAAAGAATGTAAGACACAACATTCACCAAATTGGGAGGTTGTATACGATTTTGTATAAAATCTGAAGTATTACACCGAGTTGTAAATGGCTATTGTATTTTTGCCCTTCTACGTCCAACCCAGCTCAGTTATTGTAGATAAAAATAGGAAAGTGAACATCACTGATATCGCTTTCAGCCCCTAAATGAAAAGGCACTATACAAATCTAATAAAAAGTTCTTTCTCTAGTGAATTTACTATCTCAGTAAATGTTTCTAACAATGTTCTGATTCAGGATGAGATAATCAATGTAGTATAATAACTGATTTCATAAAGTATATCAGAACTGCAGGATATGAAGCCCTTGGTTGCAAACAGCCTTTGTGTTATATCCAGAAATCTCCCAAAATTACTAATTTGCAATTTTTATATGTGACAGAAGAGAGAATTATTAAATATTGGAAAGTATATCAAATAACTTTTTAAAATTGTAATTAAATAAAAATGTAACAATATTAAATCTTAAAAGTAGGACTTTGCTTCCTGACAATAATTTAGGTTTCCCATCTCTCTCATCACAGAATTATACATTTTTGTCAGCCGAGTCCCAGTTTTGAACTGGAAATGGATATGAAACAAAAACATTTTGTAAGACCAATCTGAAAAGGCTCATGAACAAGAATTCACTAATAGGGATGATTTTTCTATTTTTAAAAAATTAAATAATATATAGGCAGATTGCAAAAATCATATTCAATCGTTTCTATAGTTTGGTATGGATATTTTGAAAATTGATTAATGCTGAAAAATAATTCTTTTTGAGATTTTGCATGGCCCTATGATAAAATAAAAGGGCTTCTTTCATGTTCCTATTGTTTCCTATTATGGAATACCAAGAGGAAATGAAAAACCTTTTACTTCAAAACAAAATGTTAAAACATGTTGGATGCTGTTACAATTCTCTAGTAACTAGTCTCATTCAGCTTTCTGGTTGAATTGCAGTGTTTTTTAAACAGTTTCATAAGGAAAAATTGAGATTTGCCCACTGGTGTTTTATGTAAATATTAGAGAAAGTCAATGAGCTGTTCTTCATTTTCTTCTGATATGGCAGAATGGTTAAGATGGAGCTAGGGAGAATCCTGCGCAAAGCCATCCTCAACTGGGAAACTATGGGTTAATCTTTCTCTTTCAGCCCAATATATCTCATAGAATTGTGGCCAGATTCTAGAGAAGAGTGTGCTGTATTATATTGTCTTGAAAAAGGCAGATAAAGAAAAAGTTATAAAACGAACTAATAAAACATTGAATTATATAGTACACATGATTCTTATTGAATTACTGAACTACTCCTGTAGCTTTGGAATGTGAAAAGGTCATTAATCATATAACTATTCAATGCCTATAAATCTAAATGCCTGCTATACTCACGATTCTCCTTCCGTTTGTTCTTCCTGTTTACGTTTCCTTTCTGCTACTTCACGTTCATGCTGGCCTTTTAGAATGTTTCTTCTATGAGACCCTTGAACGTTTCTTCCTTTCTTCTTCTTTTTCATTTTAATTTAGACAGGAATGAAAGACTTGTTGAAACAACTGTCTATTCTAATTTTACATCAGGTGAATGATGCAGAGTAAAAAAATATATCATTTTAAAGAAAACTGACATGTAATCCACATTCCAATGCATTGCTTCTCCACTGCATTTTAAAAATTTAATAATCCCTATGAAATATTGTTTTACCAAGGTATTTGAAACTGAATTACATTTTCAACACAATGAAAAGAAACAACTGAACCATAAGTGCGGGGATATTTCATGGTAAATGAAATGAAAGATAAGGTAGGTGAAAGATAAGGTATAGCTGATATTGGAATGAGAAGCATCCTAAGAAAAGGCAACATCAAATATAAATGTGATAATAATTATATCAATATTTATATTTGAATTTAACATGAAGCCAAACACACCTATTAACATGGGATGCAAATACCTCAAAAAGTATCATCTTACTGTAGGAGATGACTAGGCTGAGCCTGGGGACAGGCTCAAATGCATCGTCAGACTGGAATCCCACCCGAAAGAGACCTAAGTCCAGCCACCCCTTGAGGTCCATTGACTCTGCCGCCAATTTGCCTTCACAGTTAGTAGATCAGATTCTTATATAGGCTGCATAGAATAAATACTCAGTGCTTTTGAATTCTAGCTTGGCTCCTGGTTGCTTGTGCCCTACATTACTTAATAAACAAATAACTCAAGAAGCATTGCTGTGCAATATATGAAGGAAATTTCTCCGTATCTGAAATGAAAGAAATAAAATTCATATACTTTATTCCCTTCTTGCTCTTCTCCATCGTCTTCTGTATCAGAGCCAGATGCTGATCCCACTTTAGTAGTATTTTTCCTTTTCATGTCAGTGTCTTTTTTATTTTCCTTTTTATCTGAGTCTTTTCTAATTTTGTCTTCCTCTTTCTGACTTTCGTCATCTCTTCTCTGCTGTTTTTTGGGTGGCTTCTCTTCAACACTCTTTCTCTTACCCCTATCTTCCTCATGAATACTAAAATATTTCAAAACAAAATAAATATTAGCTTTATTTTCAAATTTAAAAATTACATTAAAAATAAAAAAACAAATTTACCTTTATTTCTGTGTTTGTTTAAAAAAAAAGTATTATCTCTTGATATGAAAACATTTACTTAAAAGAAAGTTGGTATCAAACATTGATAGTGAAATCTTTGGCAGTTCAATAAACAAACAACTGAATGAAGAATCCAAAGTGCTTGAAGTAATGTTCTTCAAAATTTCAAAATGATATACGCTGCATACACTTTAAGTCAGGGGTGTCAAACTCATAGCCCATGGGCTGGATGCATCACACGCTGGCCACGCCCACCCCCGTTTTAGTGAAGGGGAAAAAAGTCACAATATGTCACATGATGACAACGTAACGCTGCGAGTTTGACACCCTTGCTTTAGGTATTCTAGGTTATCTAGTTTAAAGAAAACTATTGTACTTGTTTAAGAGAGCAAGTCTGTTTATCTGTAGAATTTAAAGAGATTCTCTTTGCGATTGCACTTATGACTCTGGGACATCTGGAATGAGTTTTCAAATTATCTACTCTAAGGGTCTATTTAAGAGAGATGAGACCCCCTGAAATCTGCCATTCACAAAGTAGAAGGAACAAATACTTATCAGAAAAAAAAATATAATCACCCAAGTTTTATAAGGGAAACATATATTTTAATAGGAAAACATAATCATTGTTACTGATACAATAATCTTTTAATCTAAGTCCTGCAATGCACCTTCAAACCATTAACCCACCATTTATTTATCATCTATAACAAGTTTGAAGCCCACCTGGACTAATAACGACAAGTGATGGGTCCAGAACCTCAGTAATCTTATAAGGTTTGACTCATTTTTGACTCATTTCTTTCAGGACTAGTATAGTGGCATTTTAGGAAATGTATGCTTCAGATTTTTCTGTCATAAAATAACATCTTTATTCTTGTTTCACTGTTCTATTTGGGATTTTATTTTACATAGTAATTTAAGAATTTTTGCATTATTTTTAAGTTGGCTATTTTATTATGACATAGCGAGTGCTCTTTAAAAAAAAGTACAAAGGCTAACAATTCTAATATCGAATTGCTAAACCAAAATGAACTTGCAAAATATACTGGATGTAACTGAACTTAGTTAGGAGTCTGGTTGCTATATTAAATGAGATGGGAATTCCTCAAAAGCAAGTCCATGCAAGTATGGCAAAACTCTAATCAATAAATAAGTACATAGATCAACCCAGGAGACTGTGACACATTGGCTTTAGATTTTTCAAGGATCTATGAAACAGATCTGTAATACCAGCATTTGGAATCAATGACAAAAGCACTGGTTCAAATTCCTAAGACAACAAAACCTATCCAGAATGCTTACATGCTACTAAAAGTTATTGAGAAGTCTAAAAGAATGCTAAAAGTTGCAATATGTATGAAAATTTCATGGGATTAATTCTCTACATGTGAAAAGGAAATAATGGATAACAATGAATTATACATCTCTTGTAACAATATGCATTTCAGTCTCATTAAAGCAGTTAAATCTAGATCCAATGCATAGAATTCTATATAATATTTACTATTAAATGTGGTACATTCCTATCGCTACAGAACAAACAACATTTAAAAATAAGCTTACCTGTCACCCTCTGGAGGACAGTGTGGTTTTATCAATTTGGGTCTCCCTCTTGGTTTCGGAACTTTTATTTCAGTAGCTAGTGCATTTAAAAATGATTAGCTATATTAACTTTCAATATCAATATTTCTACAAAGATGAAATTTAACCACTAATAAGTTAATAAAGTTTTCTGCATTAGTGCGTAGTTCATAAACTTAATTTTATTGAAAATGCAATTTCTTCATTAGAATAATTCCTATTAGAGGACAATTTTTCAAAATGTTTTTTAAACCAAGATGCTTATAAAACAAAGCAAACTAATAATAACTTAAGGGTAGACCAAACTGTGTTACTCTTCTTGTATCACAAAAACATTACTATTAATAAACATGAGTACACAGACTTCATACTAGATATGAAAATAAATGTTGGCTCTTCATGGAAGCTTTGCAAACATTACAGGTACATAAGGTGCTTTACTGAGACAAGAAGTCATATAAACAAAATACTTGACTCCTACAAAGTCAAGTTATATGCATATTTTCTTCAAGTTTTAAATTCTAGGCTTTTTCCTCCCATCTATCTGAATCAACACATTTTCTGCTACTTGTTTCCTGTTCCTGAGAGATCTCAGCTCAATATTTATGTAATAAACAGACCACTGATTCTCACCCACACAGCTTTAGGACTTACAGGAATCTAGTGGAATAAAAATACCGTAGAGCTTTATGAACTAAGGCAGGCATATCAAACCTGCAGCTCACAGGCTGCACACGGCCTTGGATAGCTAGCAATGCAGCCCCACAAAACAACCCCCCTCCAGATAAGAGAAGTTTATTATTTATATACATTACATATATTTTATATGTGTTCCAAGACAATTCATGTTCATTCAATGCAGTTCATTTAATTCAATTTAATTTTAAAAATCCAATATGAAAAAGTCTTGCTTGATTTTTTTTCAATCACAAATATTATTTGCTTCGTAAATACATTCACAAATGCTTATTTTCAAGCAATACTAAGGAACAGAGAATAATGCCTAGAAGAATGCATGTATCAAATTTCTGGTGCTTTCCTTCCCTTTTTAGAATGCTTTATGTGCTATTAACTCACCAGCTGGCCTTCCTCTTTTAGGGCTAGCTTTTGGAGCTGTAATTGTTGCTGTTGCTCCTGTCACCATCGCTGTGGCTTCTTCCATTTCTGCTTGTTTTTCAGCCTGTATTAAAATAATTTATTTACATAAACTTGACCAAACTATACTACTGGTTCCAAATGGAAAATTACTTAAAAACTAATTAGTTTTATGATTTCTTTTCGAACTTTGGAAAGTGCTAACAAAATTAACAAAAAGCTCATGAAAGGAAAAATCCAACAGGGAAGACTTTTTCAAACATGTCAACAGAAATAAAATCATCATGGAGGCACTGGGTTCATTGCTTACTTCAGAAATATACATTTCATAAATGACCAAGAAAAAAACAGAATACCATTTTTTCTCTACATTTACATCCAAGGGCAGGGGCATTTATGAGCAGAACAGATTAGGAATGATCACAATAGGGGAGCAGGCAGATTGGTAAAAATGTCGTAACAGATTGTTTAGCTAATTACTTCAAGATTCCAGACCCTAATGTTTCCGAAATTCTAAAGAAATGGTAGAAGAACTGTCAGATATATTTAAAGCGTTCTTGAGAACTAAGGAAATGCCAGAGGACTGAGAAGAGTGAATAGCAATAGACTTATATACAGCTTCACAGGGCTTTTCAGCCCCCTCTAAGAAGTTTACAGAGTCAGCATATTGCCCCCAACAATCAGGGTTCTCTTATTACCGACCTTGAAAAGATGGAAGGCTGAGTGAACCTTGAGCCTGGTAAGATTTGAACTGCCAAATTGCAGGCAGTCAGCAGGAGCCTGCTGTATTGCATTTTAACCACTGCATCACCAAGGCCCCCTTTCTTTCTTTCTTTTTTAAAACAATATATTGCCGCCTACCCATTCACAGCAACTCAAGGCGGCTTACAGGAAATAAAAACACTATGTAAAATTAATAAAAATAATAAAAATAACAAAATAACAAGCCACCCTCATATCAGCCATTTAATGGGCTCCATCCTGCTCTGGGTTCCCCAGGCCCGTTGGTAGAATCACATCTTCAGGGTCTTCCAAAAGAGTGTCAGAGTGGGGGCCAGCGTAATTTCTGGAGGGATGTTCCTGAGGAAGGGAGCCACCATGGAGAAGACCCTTCTTCTGGGTCCCTTCAGATGTATCTCCTTGGGGATGGGACCCACAATATTCCTTGCCTCCCTGCTGTAAGTGGGTCAGATGGATGTGACCGGCAAGAGACGGCCCCTCAGATAACCTGGTCTCAAGCCATGAAGGGCTTTAAAAGTGACAACCAGCACCTTGGATTGCACCTGGAAGCAAATCAGCAACCAATGCAGCTCCCGCAGGAGAGGAAGCAAGGAACATGTGCACACCAAAGTCTGCATAAAACCATGCGAGCCACTGCATTTTGCACCAACTGGATGCTTTTTTAAGTGCAGTCATTTTCTTTAAGAAATGAAAACACAATCCCAACAATCCTTAGGAAGATGTTGGAACAAGTCATAAAATAAACCGCTCTGAAACACACTGAAGACAATGTTATAATTTTCAAAAATCTTTTGACACAGTTCATTGGTTTAAATGAGGTGGCAGCCAAGGAGCAGAAATGCAGAAATTTCTACTCACTAGGAGACCACCAGTGGTCACTCATAGGTTTTTTTTTTAAATAGAAACAAAATGGAAGGCTTCCAGTGCTTATTAATAATATGGGGTAGAGACTAATTCCCAATTTTTCTCTTTTGCTTCTCTAATCTGTTCATATATTTTGAAGGAGGTGAAAACTAAAGAGAAAAAAAGGTTGACTCTCCCCTTATTAGCAGAAGTCTTTGCTATTTTAAAGATTCGTTCATATTTAAAGTCATTTTTGGGAACTGAATGACTTATTTTTCAGACAAACTAATATCTCCTGCTCCTTGTGGAAAAATATACGTACTGGATCTGACAAGAGCAATCTTATAAATGCCAGAGTCTAACAAAATATTCTAAAACAGTAATCTTTATTGAAGCTATATTTTGTTTGAAATAAATTGACATTGTAATATATGTGTATAAAATATGTATAAAGTATTACCTTTCTTTTTCTCCCCCTTCTAGCAACTTTAGGGACTGACATATCACTTGTTTTACTCATATCCTAAAGATAAGAACATTATTAAAACCATTCTGAATTACTGAACTTTTAAATTAATAGTCAAACCACCATTTTAATATAAAGCAAAAACTACAATGAAGTACTTGAAGGTATTTAAGCAAGTTTGACAATGTGAATTTTCAGAAGCACTTTGTAGGAGGGGTGGGATGCTACTGTTTCTGCCCGGTTCTAAAGAACCGGTGTCTCTGAAGAACAGCAGACAACGAACTGGTTCTGTGTCTGCTGCTGTTTGGCCCACCCGCCTGCCCAGGCTCTTACCTGTCCTTTATTTCCTGCTTTTTCAACCTCAGGTGCTTTGTGTGGCACAGCAAAACATAGTCACCAAATCAGTAGTAACACCGGTTGAATCCCACCCTTGCTTTGTAGGTCACATTGTTCTAATTATCACTTTTAACTAATTTAGCATTAAGAAAACTTAAGCTATATCTGCTCTAAAATAACTTTTAACTAAGCCTCAATGTATCATTTTCCAATCAAATCTATCAATCAATATGTAATATCATTTGGTGATTTTCTTTGAGAAATAGCAGAGCTGAAAGTGTGTGAATGTGTGAATACTGTGTGAATTAGGCTGCAATAAAAAGGCAGAATAATTCAAATTCTTTATGTCAACATACTTCACTGCTAGGTTTTTCTGGAGAATCATCATCTTTTAAAGTTTCCAGCTCTTTTTCTTCAATTTCAGCTTCAGAAGTTTCGTTGTCTGGTTTAACAGATTCCTGAGAGCAAAACATCAGAATAATTTTTTATGTACATGGTCAAAATAGCTCTTTTTCTTAAATTCTATCAATCCGTTTTAAGTTTCTGAAGGGATAAACATGACCAAATATATGAGTACATATTTTTCATGTTTTAAAAACCTGTTTTTATATTTACTTGGAGCAGGTAAAAATAAAATATTTTTTCTTGAATATCCTCATTTGAGCTCATTTGTTCTGCATAGGCTGTTGTTGCAATCAGAGAATTTATCATAGATGTTCAACATATGATGGAATTTAAAAAATTATACATAATATCTAATTAATGTTTAAAGATATTGAAGCCGGACCTCTCATTCTGGTACTTATTAGGCAATAGATTAATTGAAGCCAACAAGCCCTATTTTGTCTCATATTATCAAATGGCTTGTAAAAGCTGCTGAGAGTTATCATCTATTAAACCCAATAATGCCTACACCCAGAATTATTTCTTCCTTGAGTATGATTGCCCTTGTCTGAAAACAAAATTAAGACTTTTTTTATTCTTTAAACCAATTATGCACATTCTGAAATTTACTTAACTATTATTTTGATATTTAAATTAATTATATAATAATCATTTAACAATTAACCTGTTGTACAAATATTTAACAATAGTTTGGCTAAATTCACAAATTGAACCACTATGTGGCTTGTTTAGTTTTAGTTTGGCACGTTATATGACTTGCTAAATTGTAACCAGTTGCATTTTATTCCACTAAATCAATTTATACACAGGCTGCCTGCAATTTGTTCAATAAATTATAGCTAAACTATGGCCTAGGGCAAAATTCAAAGACTTTTTTTTCCTATATGAAATTAAAATAAACTTTACTAATCTCCAAATCCATAGTCAGATGATATGTTTACTAATAATAACCAAATACAATAAATATATACAAAAGACTGCAACCATATTTTTAAGATTTAAAGTTTCAAGAGCTGGAAACATAAAATTTTACCAGCATTGCTATCCTCTAAACTACATTTTGATTTTTAAGTTACTTATTTAGAGTAAGATTAGATTATTTAAGTTACTCTAATTATTGTACATATCAAGACAAAGTTGATGCTTCTCTTGGAGATTGATTATAGAATCTCTCCCTCAATGAACCACTAGGAAGAACAGCATCAAGGATACATTATCATCAAGTTTTTTGGCATTTGCTACCTCTTTTCATTCTTACATTGCTTATATTTTGGTTAATCATGCTTATTACATACAAAGCATAATTTTATACAATATGTATTTCTCATCAGAACAAAGATAGCCTATTTGCTTTCCCCATATAATAATGTTAGATGGTGTTTTTTTTTGGGAAACTACAGATTGCTCATAGTACTTTGAAAAAGGAGTGGAAAACAAAGACTTTCCTGCAAGATACTGACCTGGTTTGTGCATAAATTAAATCACTATTTTGAACAAACTACAGTGAGTTTGCATAAGCTAGTGTAAAATGAAACAAGCAATATAACAGTATGAGTTTTCAGCCTCTACTTTTGGTTTTAACTATTGGTGTTTGTAAACAGGATATAATTTATCATATTGTATCAATGCAGTCACAAATTCAAACTGCAACATTCAGCCCTAACTTTCCCATAGCTACAGCACTGATCATACAAGGTTACATTACAGTAAATGCTGGAGACAAGTTGAAGTGAACCTCCTGCTACTGCCTCAGCAGGTGCAGAGTTTTTAAAAGCTTCACAGATTAAAAAGCTATGGAAAAAAGTGACAAGCAAATCTTATACTTACAGTATGCACATAGTCCCACATTTTCAAAACAATCCTGTAACAATATCCCACTCAGAAAACAGGCATTTTATTTTATTTTTCTTTCTAGCACAATTTACAACTATCAGTTTTTCTTCCTTCCTTGCTTGGGGTTTCTCTTTTTTATCCAGCTCCAAATAAATGATTTAAGTCTTTTGAATAATCATGCCAACACAGAAAACTGGCCTACATTTTGAAAAAAAAATTCAATAGATTCATGCAATTGCCAAAGGAAAAAATTGTTGTTTGTCAGCTGCGGTTAAATTTCAACTGATTGTAATAAAAAGAGATAAACTGAAAAGAGGATAAAGAAAGGGTTAATCCTGTTTAAAGATACACATCTATATATTTTTGCCAAATAAACAAGCTAATATATTCAATGAAGCAGTGTTTAAGTGACACATCACATAATCTGAAATTAATACCTCACTTTCATAACTCTATTTAAGGATTCTTACAACACAGTGAACATAAATGGTATATGCCAGGTACTTTTGTACAAGAAAATGATATAAAATGTTCTTACTGGATTATGGTTCAGTGAGCTGTTTAAACTCCCCAAATATGTTACACATGCATAAAAAAATACAAGTTAAGAAATCCAAACCCTCATCCAGAAGCTGCTATTAGTCCCTATCAGCTGGCCTGTTCTTTTATTAATCTTTTATCTTTCGCATCTTTTTTGAAGTTCAATTACTAGAACACTACAAAACATTGCGCCTATAGTTATGCTGTACATTTATATTACCATATTAATATTTTCATTTTCCTACAATGATTTATAGTATGGAATTTGTCTTTAGCCCCTTCTCTTCATTTTACAGGTGTGCATAGGGTAATTATTTTCACTCAATTATTAACCAAGATCTTTTTCCTGAGAGATAGGTGTGACAAGGGACATAAAACTGATGAGATTTGATCATCAGATCCTTACAAAGGTGTGATCAATGGTTAATAATCAAAGATAAATATTCCAATTTTAATTGTAACAAAAGTTTCATCTCTTCAATATCTATGTTTGCATTATGTTGCTAAAAAGGGCTTCTACTGTTTAAAGCCTGTAGGCAAAATTTCACAGATCACAGGGCTGATATAGGCACTTCCCTGTAAGGAATATTAAGAGGATTCAAACCAAGTGTTTATGTAATCCACAGTAACCAAAATTACTTCTTTTTAAAAGCAACAATATATGTTCAGTCTCATCTCAATGTGAATGAAGATAAGGCTAATTTAAGGAAAAGCAAATAGTCCCTCATCTCTTCACTAGACATTCATTTTATTTTTTAGAAGTAAATTAAGCTATTCACAAATGAAGTTTTATCTTAGTACTGTTGTTCTGTATCCCAACTACTTTTCATTTTTCCCTTTAATTAACTATAGACCAAGATTTTGACATTTATTTGAAAGTAAATCTTACTGAATTCAATTAAAGTTAATTATTTGGTAAGACGGAAACTCTGAAACTCTGATTTTTCTTCTTTGATTGCTTTCTGACTTCTATTCTATTGCTATCCCACTTCTAGGGGCACTTGTGAAGTTCCCCCAGGTCTAGATTGAATCAAAGTATAAAACTCCATATAGAGTAATGATTCATAAACTCAGGTGGTGGAAGGATTGGCTATCTACCATAGTACTTCTGTAGACGTGGAAAGGTGAGTGGTAGGAGAAAAGAAGAAAAAATTGTAGTAAAACACACTTTATCAATTCTCCACAAATCCCTGCTAACAAACTCTTGGTGCTCCCAAATTGTTGTAAAGATCCTTCAATTTCTATAAGAAATACATTTTAGGGTTTATTTCCTTTTGAGGTGCATATGATTACTTCTTGTCTTCTTTTTGTTGCCTCGGGTTCTATTATAAATTCCTTCCTTTACTGCAGTGACCACCAAACTTTTTGACGCCGCGGCCCGGTACCGGCATCAGCTGGGCGCCGCGGCCCAGTACCGGCATCAGCTGGGCGCTGCCATCTTTTTTTGATGAAAACGTGCTTCCGGTGAGCTTTCTACCCGGAAAAGCTCACCGGAAGCACTTTTTCATGAAAAAAAGATGGCGGCGCCAAGCAAACCGCAGCCCGGTAGGAGTTGTTCCGCGGACCGGTACCGGTCCGCGGACCGGTGGTTGGGGACCCCTGCTTTACTGGATAGACTTAGCTATAGGCTGTAAACCTATTAAGCCATAAGACGAGCCATTCACACTTCTTCACTTAACCTTTTACCTAGTATTTTCAGTATCCAGCTGCACTTGTATATATAACCATCTTGCATTAAAAATGTTCTTTTTATCAAACTTAAAACACCTTCATTGTGTACTTATGATTTGTTCCTTGGTAACTACAATTGGGTCTTGTTTTTCCTCCTTTGTTTAAGACGTATTTTTTATGTATTTGCAATTACCAAGACCTGGAAGGAGTTTCTATTTCACCTGTTCTAGAAGTCTGGTGGAGGAAATTGTATCCCAGTCTGGAACAGGAGGTAGCATAATCTATTGAAACCGGGACTCTTCTAAGTTTTAGGCAGCCTTATCTAGAACAGATAATAGACTTGGCAGGGAACATAAGGGACTAGTTTGATTTACAACTTTTCACATCTTCCCTGGCCAAGCCTCTGAAAAATTATATCTTTTGTAGTAGGAAAACAAGAGGGAAGAACTGGAAAAGTTGTAGGTCTTGCCTTTCATTTGCCCTTTAGAAAATTGTTACGAAACATCTATATACTTCATCCATTCAAGTGACAACTGAAATGTTCAAGCCACATTTCTATTTGATAGTAGCAACTAAGAAAACCATGGTGTCAATGAAATTCTGGAGTATTACTGCTTCATGCCTTCAGACTGTTTCTCATCCATGATATTTATTGGCTAGCTAGTAACCTATGACTTCATACCTATGTCATTCTCTTTGGGTATTTTAGACTTTGATGCTATTTTTGATTAGTCTAAATGAATCTGTGACATACATTGCCATATGAAAGCTGGAATTAATTATAAGTGCACCCTCCATATATCAATATTTTGTAATTAATTCTATTTTAATATCTCTTTGGAGTAAGAGCAAATTCCTTTTATAAAAGCAGCATTATTATTTCTGTTGTTGTTTCACTTTTACAGTGTTATGGTGTTTTAATATATTATCCATTTCTACAATGAATCTGTGGTTATTCCCAACTAGAGTAATCAAGATAGTAGTGACACAAAAATCAATTTCACGTTTTAATGATTCATTGACATGTATGTATGTATGTATGTACCTATGTACGTAGAGTCCTTTTAAAATCAAATTTCTTTTTCCTTATGAATATTTCTTTCTCTACTTTGGGGCAACCATTTGGTTGTTCTATTTTATATAATTGAAATTAATCCTGAGTGGTTCTGCAAGTTATCAAGTTTCACCAGTGAAAGTGAAGATTATAGCGATTCTGATAGCTTTTCACATATGTGCAAGGAAGGATTTAAGAAGACAGCTAATTTTTCCACGAAAAAAGCACTGTGCATATTCATGGAAGCAATTTTTCAGAAATGCCACTGCTTGCGTGTGCACAGGCACACGCACGCACACACACACGTTCTGGAAAATGTCAGATATTGTAAGAGCTTTACTGTTGGTTGCACCATATCATAAAACATTATAAATGAAGAGGCAAACCTGAAAGCAGTAAAGCTGTACAAGGCTTCAAATTAAAATCGAATGCTTCAGAATGTGTAAGTATACAAAACAGCACCTGTTTGTAACTCATTAAAGTCACCATGTCTCTTTTTTAAACTATGGAGTTATTGCAGGAAGGTGTTGGCTGCAGCCACAAGACTGTGTCTATGGAGATTCTCAGTCATCCAGGTCATGGTTGTCTCAAAGGTGCTTTTTTTCCCCCAAGAGGCAATTGGACTTTCTGAGGAAGTTTCTTGGGTGAGAAGCGAACATCTTCAAAGAAAAACCAGAAAGTCCAGTTGCCTCTTGAAAAAGTACCTTTGGGACAACCATGACCTGGATGATTGAGTATCTCCATAGACATTCAGCTCCTTAAAACTGTTAAAATCACTTACTTTAATAAGAGGTGTTAATTTTCTTCTCTTGGGACCCATTTTTTGTTCATTTTCTTCTGTAGTGTCTATGCTTTCTTCTTGATCTGTTTCTTTAACAACTGTAGTGTTAACTGATGGCTGAGACTGAAAAAATGCCAACATGTAAGTAACTGAGTAATAGATACAGGAAAAAAGTGCAACAATATTTTCCATTCTAGTCAATTAAAGAATTTCCATATAAACATTTTATATTGCCTACCATCCACCTGATTTCAGCGCAAAATATATAGAAACATCCAATTCTAGTTAATTTCAATTTGCTGCTGCCCAAGATGTCAATGTGCACTCGTCATTTCATCGTATACTAGGTTGAGGCTTCCCATGTTCATACTTTTTAATATCTTATTTAATGACTGCTGTACTATGGAAATTACTGGCATGCCAATGATATGGCATACATTATACTCTTAATGATAGAACACATGGAATCAAGCTTCCCCATCACTCTTCCTATGTGCTACTTTGGTTTCTAAACAATTTCCACAATGTAGAATGTTTCTAGAATCTTTTATATACTCCTGAAAATGAGAGATATACATATAATATTTATATCTCTCAATTATTTTGCCAGGGAATAGAGAAAAGAGGGCTTTCATTCTAAAACCTTCAGAAAAACCGCAAAGGGCAGGACATTCATTCTCTCAAGGATAAGCAGAGATTTCCAAAATCTGGGAACAAATATCTATGTGTGAGATGTCAATCATTACGAATAGCATATAGTTGCTTGAAGTCCTTTCTAACTATTGCTTTCTATTGTTACTTGGTAAACTGTAATAATGGATATTACAGGAGAACTGGCTCTTGATGGGTAGCTCTTGTATCTGGTAAGCTATTCAAGTACAATGAGAATGTTTTGAGATTTACTTTTTTCTATAATCTAGCCAGTAATCTGGATTGTAGCATGTATAAACATATTCTGAAAAAAATCATGATACAAATTATTAATAGAAATCAAAATATAAGATAACTTACCGGCTGACTGGAAAATTTAACTTTGGGATTGTTCTCAATTTCCCACAATCCTTCATTAAAGCCCTTCCTTTTATTTAACTTGCCATATTTGTCTTTATTTTCAGCATAGGGAAATATATCTTTTGGTCCCAAAAATGCACTACAAAGAAGATAATGGGGGGGGGGGGGGGGGGGAAATCTGCATAAGATATATTTATTCTTTACAAAAACCGTTTGCAATATTTTTAAACGCTAGGATTTTTATGCCATTTTGGACAGAAATAAGTACTCTTGATAAATATAGCATACTATGTGACTTCTTACTAAACAATGAGCCATACAGTATTTACTCCTACGCAATGTAAAACTGGAAAGGAACGAGCAAGACACTAAAAATACCAATTAATCCAATAACATTTTGCTAGCTCAGCAACATTGTTGCAGTGACAACCAAAAAGAAAGAACTGTATAATGTAAAATAACTATGCTATAAAACCTTTTGGCACTACTTTATTAGACTCAGTGACTACAATTACCTTTGGTTCTATAGGTTTCAACATTGCTGCTACATACGAATTATGTCTCAAAAGAGAAAAACTGCAACAAAAACTTCACCTTTTCTCTCATTATCTGCAGGCAGTCAGTAGCTCTCATATTGCTGTTTTCAATCCTGACATTTATTGTATTTATTTTTACAATTGTTTATAGCGTGCACTCATCAGAAGATTCTGAGCAAGTCACAACATATTAAAATATTAAAAAGCAATAATAGATCAATCTTTCCAAACACCCCCACCCCTCATGGGTATCAATGAGAGCCAAATCTTCCGTAAATAAAAGTATTTGTAATGATCTTCTAAATAAGATTACAAACTTCTGGTAGAAAAGTTTCAAAGTCTAGAAGCTACTTGAGAAGGCCTACTGTGACATTCATAGCCCCTGAAAGATGTTTACACCAGGTAGGCAGATTCATTTGTGGCAAGTTATTGTTCCTAGGGCAACCTTGTCCAGGTCCAGGGAATCCTCAAATTAAACCTACAATAGGGACTAGAATCTCGCTTACTGAGCAAAGTAGTTATTAGGCAAGTGACTGCTTTATTCAATGACCACAATCCAGTCACTTTTACTTAACAGTAACATTGAATGAATACATTCTACAGAATGAGCTGTATCTATTTGAAAGTACATTAACAAAACATATCCCAATTGCTTCATTTAGAATGATTCTCATAAAGTCTACTAAAGTTTCTCTTCCTTTTTTATGCATATTAAGTTAACCCTTCTTCTTTCTCTTAACTCTATTTGGTCTTGCCTTTCTGCCTTTCTGATAAAGAAGTATCCAGAAAACCATTTGTTCTAGTAGAATGCCGGCAATGTACTGTTTCATTACAATATTTAGTTCTACAGGTAGTTCTCCTGGGCAATTATGCAAATTTGTCATAAATTTGAGGCAAATATGTGACTGAATCCAAGTTTATACTGGTTGTTAAGTGAATCATGATGTTGTAAGTCTGAATCTATTCTCCTGAATGTTTTTTTTTTTTTTTTGCTGGAAACTGGCAAAAAAGTCACAAATTGAGCTCATGTGACTGTGGCATGCTGCAACCAGTTGTAAATATGAGCTAGTTATCAAGTGCCTGAAATGTGGTCATGTGATCATAGGCGTGAGGAGATGCCATATTTTATGATACCCAGAAGTGTTGGTAAGTTGAGGACTATCTCTAGTACTTATGGTAGACATAAATGGGTGCTGATACTAAAGTTATATCTGTCTAATTCTAAGCACTTCGAGGCATGGTAGAAAACAGGAATAAAATCATCAACTTATAAATAAAACTAAGAGAAAGCCAACATGTAAGCAAAGAATGACCAAATTTTCTTGTTAGATAAATATTAACAGAAGAAATACATTCTTGCATTTTAAAACTGTACTGTCTATATATCATCAAACTAAGAATTGTAATTATCTGATATTGTAATTAGGGATGTTATCTGCCTATTTATTATATTTCAGTTTTAGAAATAATGATTTTTAGAAAAAAAGCTTGGTGGCAACATTTTCAGACATTATTAAAAATAAATAATAAAATATTAGGGATTATTTGTCTAATATAACTTTTTCCCCAAAAGACTTACGTTTCATGAGTGCCAAAAAAGAATATAGGCATTTTATTTGTTGGTGGTTTGACCGCTCCATCAGGAACTTCATCAACCTACAGCAACAAACAACAACTAAATAAAAAGATAAATCTAAACCAAACATTTATAGGTAACAAAGAATTAAAAAAAAAACAATGTGCTAAATGCAACCATAACATTTCTGTGCTCTTCATGAAAGCTATAGTTTGCTTCCATCCAAGACTGAAAGATGTGATTCCTCTAAGGTTTACTTTAATAAGATAGTTCCTTTTAATAGTGGCATGCTTGGGGCAATGAATGAATGGTACACAGTATTACTTAATAGAGATTAATCTAAGGTATAGGTGTGGCAAAAGCTTAAGTAACAGCAACATCTGAACATGGGAAATATAGATTTGTATATGTGTGCATTCATTCTGTCACTTGTACACAACAGCATCCTATTTGTGTCTATGCTAATATTTATTTATGGATTCTGACTTAGGCTCTCCATCTTGCTCAGTCACTGGATAGCGAGATGGGTGGCATATAAATTTAATAAATAAATCTAGGTCAAGACACATTAAAAACTAGTTGCTTTATAGTTTGCTTGATTTGGGCTTAGTTTAATCTGTGTACCCAAGCTTACTGTCCTTCAGAAGAAGTCTACTGGCAATTGACAATACAGGAAAGCTGATTTATTTTAATGAAGTCTCCCTCAAGTCAAGCTCAACTCCTAGTTCCTGTTTGAAAATATACATGTTATTTATGTTTATTTTTCTTTGTACAACAATGCATACTGGCTTGCTATTGTCACTTTTGTGGATTTAATTTTTTTCCCCTTGTAATCTTCCATTCAATGGTACGCAAATCCAACCCTGCTTAGCTTTATTTGAGATCAACCAGGGTTGAAGAGATACTATTTACTTTGACTTTTATTTTCAATAGTGCACTACTGTAAGGGACCATTCAGTGTCAAGATCATAGAAGGCTATATGGTATAGTTGCCTATTATGTCAACAAAGAAAGTTTAAAGGGAATGTCTAATATACAAATGTCCAATTAGATTTTATTCAGAATGGTTATTCTATTTATTTAAACATGAAAAAGAACAACTGCTTACTATATTGTCAACTAACATAGCAAACTGAGATCACTGTTTTTTCTATACGTTCAAGCTTCACTGAATTTGATGCTCATTAGAGCCATTTAATTCTCCGTTTATATTTTATTCTATCTAGATATATACATCATTAATCAACGACAGTTAACCACACATCAGATATGAGCTACTAAATGCTCATGGCACGATACAGGTGTGAATCTTTGAGTGTTAAAACTTTTTGGTTGCTTGTATTTTAACAGTCATGTAATTGCTAGGGATGTGGTACACTTTGCATCAGAAACCTAATGGGTGCTTTGAAGTGGGTATAGGCATGCATACCATAACTGTCAGTGTCTCCTTAAATAAGATGCATCTTGTAGAATTGCCTGATAGCTGACAGAAACATAAATATGATAAATAAATAAGGAAGGGCCCACAAGATATTTTGGAACAGGCATTGGAACAGTCAGTGCCTTAAGCCAAATTATTCTTGGGATCATGCAACTGTATAATCCCTGGATAACATAGCTTCATTTGGTGAATGGAGGAATGCTATCTTCAAACAACATTTTGGTTTCTGATTAAAAATGCAGTACATCTATGGTAGCAACCTTCTGGAATACAGTCATATAAAAAAGGAAAACAATACAAACACAAACTTCTCCTCTGTCCCCATTTACTCATTTACTAATGTAATAGTTCCTTAACATATTGAATAAACAGGTTATAATCCAGTTGTGATCATTTATATTTGTTGGATGTAAACTGTTCAGAAAGTGTAGTTTGGCATTAAAATGAAGAAAGAGAAGCTAATAAATTGTACCAACTGCTAATGTTACTTCATGTTGTTAATCAATAGTTTGAATGATATAATCAAAGGTACAGTGGTTAGGTGAAATCCAGAAACTATAGGTTCTAATCTCAAAGGGCAGATTTAGTTCCACTGGAATACAAGGCTGTTTGCTTTCTACTATATTTGCTAATCTGGAAGAAAAAAAAACCCACAACAGGATACAACAAAGTTCAGCTGCAAAATTATGAAGAATTGGCTGTGAACTAGTTTTCTACATTCTTAAGAGCTGGACCTGTGATTTGTTGAAATCTTGTGGTTACATTTAACAGTAGACATATAACTTTACTACACATTTTTGAGCATATATGCAATTTCTGCACTGCATTCAGTAGCACTAGTAAATCCTCAGATTTTTCAAAGCTAACAGTGATAAAATTATACATTTAAGAGTCCTTTAAAACAAGACCATTCTGAGTAATTTTTAAAAGCCTTCTCTACAAGCAGGTTTACAAGTTATAACTCATCCGATTAGGACAAAGTCAAGGTGCTGAAATTGTAGTCACACAACATGCTAACCCATCAATATATTGAAACATCCCAGTCTGCACATCCTTCTGAGCAATAAAACTCAATCAGTTGAAGGTGTTGGAACTGAATCTGAAAGTTGCCCGCCACTTTTAGGGTACTGAATCGCCTCTATGCACTCGAAGAAGTATATCAGAATAACAAGAATTGGAAAGGACCTTGTAGGTCATCTAGTCCAACCCCTGCCCCCACAAGCAGGAGCCCCCTACACCATTTCTGAGTCTTGAAAGCTTCCAGTAAGGGACACACAACTTCTGAAGGCAAGTTGTTCCATTGATTGATTGTTCTCACTGTCAGAAAATTTTCTCCTAATTTCTAGGTTGAATCTCTCCTTGTTCAGTTTCCATCCCTTATTCCTTATCCGGTGCTTTGGAAAATAGGTTGTAGATCACCTCCCACCCAATCCAAACAAGAAGGCTAAAAAAACCAGCACACGTGTGTGTGTGTGTTTATCTGTAATGCGATTTCGACCAAACAAACACGCCTCCTCCTACGCCTTGGGCTGCTAAGGCCAAGGCGTTGCATTAAGTTCAAGGCCCTGCCAGAAACCCCTCGGAGCAAAGGGTCGGCCGGCCAGGTCTTAGAAACCTCCGGGCTTCCGAAGACAGGGAAATCCTCCGGATTGAGCCTTTCTCCCACCCCCCACCCCGCCTTAACCTGGAAAACGGCGGGAGCCGAAAGGAAAGGAAGGGACGGAGCCGAAAGGGGGCTTACCCGGGCCGGCCAATGGGGATAGCCTTTCATTTTGGCGAAGATCAAGTCTCCCGGTTTGAAATCGCGGCTCATGCTGCTCCTTCTCGCTGCTGCGCCGGGGGGGGGGTTAGGAGAGGCGAGTTCAAGGCTGCGGAGGGAACCGAGCGGGGCTGCTGTTGCTGCAGGCGAGCGCCGTCCTCAAAAACATATGCCGCTGTTCCGCGGGCGGAGCGAGGCAAGGAGAAGGAAAAGCTGAGGGGAGCGCACGGCTGTTATAAGCCCACCGGTTCCCCTCACCCGTTTCCCCAGACGGGCAGAAACCGCCCAACCCGCCCTTCTCCCGGAGGCGGCGGCCGCGTTTCCCGCCAGCCCCAAGCCTTCATCTTCCCCGTTTTGGCGGGAAGAAAAGTCCCCCATCATCAGGAGAAAGAAAGAAAGAAAGAAAGAAAAGGGCAGCCACCCTCTTTCTCCCTGCCGCCGCCGGAGCTTCAACCGTCCCCGAACCCCGCTTACCTGACCCGCGCGCACGCGCGCCAAACCCTTTTCCCCTCCCCACAACACACCCGCTACTCCTACCCCGCCGCGACTGTCCCGTTGCTCTACCTTCCCCCTCCCCCCCGCAATAGCCAAACAGCGGCAGCCGCGAGCTCGAAGGCGCGCGCACCCGCCGCTCCTCCTCCTCCTCCTCGCGCCAGCTGCTTCGGAGGCTCGCTCAGGCTCGGCGCGCACCAAAAGATTGCCTACAAAACGGGGGGGGGGAGAGTGAGGGGGGGGTGAAAACCAGGTGGGGAGAAGCTGCGGGTAAAATTTTTTCGCCCGTCTTTAGTTGACTTACTGGGCAGGGGATGAGCGGTGTATTGAAGTCGAAAGAGAGAGAGAGAGAGAGTGGAAAGAAAGGTCCAAGAGCCTCATTGGATCGGGATCCTCCTTCTTCGAGCACAATGGTTCGCTCCGCCTTCTCCTGTTGGAGCCTTCTTGCAAAGGCTGTAAGGCAAACGAGGGAGGGAGTTCGTTATCAGCGCGGGGGCGGGGTGTGCAACTTTGAATGGGCCTAATAGTATCGCCAAAGGGTCAGCCTTAACATTATATATGCTGAGCCAGGATTTGTTGGTGTGGGGATATTTGACCCTGCTGGGACAAAAACAGAAACAGGTCCTCTTTATTGGGTTTCCTATAATGCTCTGTGGATAGAACATAAAAGGTTTGCATTCAGTCGGATGCAAAGTGTTTTCTTCGGAAGTAAATCAGGCTGGCTTTGATAGAATTTGCTTCACATGAAGGTTTGCCAGTACAATATGAGTAAGTTTGTAGTAGGATTCCTGCTCTAGTTTTTTTTAAAAAACAATTTTACCATTCTCTCCCGAGGTCTCCAGTGAAAACAAGGCAGTGAAATGTAAAAATCATGTCTGAGCTCTGCAGGAAATGCTGTCAATCCAGGCAGATTTTTAAAAATAATTTGACGTTTAGATTAAAAAAAAATTGACGTTTAGATTTTTAAAAAGTAAATATTGTGGGTTTTAAATTGCCCTGCGATATGATGATTTGATTAAAGTTCTGTATTAGGAAATCAAATTCAGGTTTCAATTCTGTGTTGCCAAAGCAGAGTTTTGACTGATGCTGCTTGTTAATGCAACAGTTTGAGAAGTTTCTTCTAAGTAGGTTTTAATAGCAGTAGCTGTATCGCTATTAATAAAAGACTCTTCATACAATATGCTTTCTGACTAATAGTTAAATTTATACTTAGGTCAGTTTCATAGTATATCACACTGAGCCACAGCGACTGGGTTTTCATAACTGAGCCAGACATTCTACGTTGTTTATTTATCAAATTGATATACCACAAATGTGACTCTTGTTTATTTTTGCCAATATGGTTACTAGTGAACTGGTGTGAATAAATATATTAAATTCACTGCACTGTTTTCAGGCTATGGAATTGTGAGTTCAATATTCTGTGTCAAAATTCAGCAGAGACCTTTCTTCATTTTTTTATAGAAAGCATACTAGAATGTAGACTTTTCAATGTTTATTATTTTATATGCATGACTAATTTATTCTTTACCTTTCCTTCAGAAGCTTGAGGCACATTTATAATCCTGTCCCCATTTTTGCCCTACAAAACAACTTGTGAGCCGAGAGTGACAGGCACAGAGTCACAATGGGCTTTCATAGCTGTGGTAGGCCTGAACCAGCCTAGTGCTTTAATCACTATATCATCCTAGCTCTTTACAAAATAACTAATTAAATCTTTTCTGCTAGGCTTGCATAATACTCTAGGCTAAAATGTGGTTGTTTTGTGGCTCAGTGTGTTGTAAAATGCAGACAGTGAGGTTAGTTTTCTGTTTGTTGAAGAATGATTGCATTTATTTGGTATACAGAATTTATTACCTTTGGGATAAACAGTCTACGCAATATTATGCCTCAGATAACAGCATGAATCTCCACAGGCAAGGTTGGTAGAAGGAGATGATGGCATGTGTGGCATGACAGAAAATGACCCAATTCTTCTGCTTTTCCAGAAGTCTTTGCTTGATTGCTAGAGGGAACAAAATTATGGATCATCTGAATGGTGATTTAATACTCGATAACATGTATGTATCAGTTCAAATCCATATTCAACTAGAAAATAGGTATCCTGGAGCCTAATTTTTCTACTCAGTTGAATTGGTCATAGCCTTATAATGACTTAAAATACTGCCATGAGCTTCAAAAAGGGAATGATGAATACTAAATGCAATAAATCTAGTGCCCACATTTTCTAAATAGCATGAAATACTGCCATTTCTTCATGAGTAGCTTTGTGCAGGTGATACTAGCTGGATTTATACAATACACTAATATTAAATACAGGTGGCTAATTCAAAGTGTGAGATAAGCATTGTCATATTAGATACAATTGTATATTCCATGTTGAAAACTATGGTACAAAGAACAAAAATATATGCTGTGAAGTTCAGTGTGCCATTTCATAGACTGATATATCATATAAAAGACAATGACTGTAGTTGCATTGAATTCTAACATATATACTTAATATGTTGCTTTTAAAAACTAGCCTTGTTCAATATAAAATTATACAGATTGAATTTGCACTGATTGGATTTTCAATATAAAATTATACTGATTGGATTTCCACATTTTATGCCAGTATATATTGCAAATTCAGTCATTGAAGTTTGGGTAAAAGAAGAAATCTTGCATTCCTTAATGAAATTGGATGTGCTTTCCATCAGTGTTGACGCCTGGATGAGTCCCTGCAGTTTCCTTGGCAAGTTTTTTCAGAAGCGCTTACTATTGCCTTTTTTTTAGGGCTGAGAAGAAGTAAGCTGCCCAGAGTTATCTAGCGGGCTTCATGCCTGAGGCAGGACTACAATTTAGTCTCCTGATTTCTTGTGCAGTATTTAAAATAATCACACCTAATTGTCTTTCCTAATGAATTTATTAATTGTTGATAGCTACCTATCTCGCTAATGTGACTGTGGGTGGCTTGTGAAGTTAAAAATCCAGAAAACAATACTAAGTCAACCAACTCCCCTCCAATAATTAAAAAAGATTAAAAACAAACTTTTAAAAACCTTAAACATAATCAGCGGAGAGCACCATTATGTTGTACCTAAAAGTACAGCCTCTTAGCAGGCTCTCCACTAACATCACTGGACTTCTAAACCAGTTGACAAAAGCCATGTTTTCAGACTCTTCTGAAAGGCTAACAAAGTAGGGACCAATCTCACCTCAGGGTGAATGGTATTCCAAATGGTGGCTTCTGGCAGAGAAAGGTCTCGGGTGCTATCAGCTGATATTCCTGTGTAGACTGGATCTGCAATGTGCCCTTTCTGCCAGATCTGATGGGACTAGAAGATTGTAATTGGGATGAGGTGATTCTACAAGTATCCCAGCCTCATGTCAAGTAGGTCTTTGCAGATCAGCAGCAGCAGCTTCAAACAAACATATCTAATACAGCTTGCAGAACAGAGGTGTAATATGTGCTGATCTAGGTGTGCACATAATTATCCATGCTGCTACATTTTGCACTAGCTGGAGCTTCTAGATTCTCTTCAAAAACAGGCCCATGTAGAGTGCGTTACAGTAATCCATCTACCCATAAATCACTGTGTGGAATACAAACATAAGTGCGTTTCAAAAATAAAAAATAGTTATTTCAATTATCTGAATATCTAGATTTCCAGATTGGATACAGAAAAAAACTACTCAGAGCAATTTTGAATTTCTGTTTTTCAGGAAAGGTTTTAGCAATATAAACAGATTAGAGCTATTTCACATTATTTCCTGGTGTCACCACTCTGTACTATTAAGACTCTTCAGGGGAAAAAACTGAAGCAGCTTAATCTCTGTGTACTTAGTTTTGAATAATAAAAGCAAACTATCTTTCTCCAAGCCTAGTTCAAATGCAAATTAAAAAGAAAACAGGTATAATAGTATCCACATGCTGTTCTACAGTTTTGCTAATGTTTTCACCCTACAGGGAAAACTTTTTGATTTGAGCTAAATTGCTTTGGGTACAAAAAAACATCTGAAACTATTGATGCTATTCTTTTAAAAATGATAAGCGTTCCTGCTGTAAGGGAAATAGCTCCCAGGATTAGACTGTATTGTAAAACCTGCTTCTAGGAGTCAAGATTATATTCCAACTATGACAATTAAAAATGGTTTTCCTTTCATTTTTCTTTCACTTATTTTTCTATCTTCAACCTTGAATCCTTTCTCCATCAGTTTCTAATAGCACCATCTTCAAAATAGGAAAGAGTAGAAGAATATACTGCATAGTTACTTAATATAATCCACATAATTGAGTCAATTGTACAGAGCAAGAAACAAAATAATATATTTTAAATTATTACTAATAAAATTGGAATCTGCACGTACAACTCTGGAATGGTTTGAATGCTTATTATTAAAAAATATATTTGTGCTTATATGTTATGTTTATAGATACATCCTAATCAGTGGATTTTGTAAATTGGTGAGACAACTGAGTAAATTTAATAATTCTATTATATAGACTACACTCTGGGAATATTGTTTCGGAAACTTTATTTCATTGTGTTAACTTTTAATGGGAAATTATAGCCTGGATTAAATGAATTTATATCTATTGTTGTTCATCTTGCTTCTGAAACAATTAGATATTTCAACAGCAATGATTCCCCTCTTTGTACAAGAATGCACTGAAAACCTATATTGTAATGACTATTGTGTTTGTTTAAAAATTAAGGTATAGCTAATTGGACAAACAGCATAGATAAATTAGATCTCCCAAAGAGGCCAATTGCCTTTCAAGGATATAAGGTGACCTTCATCTTATGCTTTCTTAATTCAAACTGGTAAGTAATTCCACACAATGTAAAGTTCTTCAGGTTGTAGAGTGTCATGTTTTTCTACAAATAGAATTGCCTTGAACACTTAATGGAAATATATTCCAGGGCATATAAAGTAGTTGCTCTGAGTCAAGGACTTCTTTATGAATGCATGAAAGTAACACAACTTAGAGATAGATGTCTGGTTGACTGGCTGGCTGTTCAAAAATAATTTTTTTTTGTTCTAAAATAGTCTAAAAATTATAATTTGCAAATATTTAAATTGGATTGTAATCACTATGGAGAAGTAGCAGAAGTACTTCTTCCCATATTTTTACAATTTTCATTTTATATCTGATTCCTCCAGGAATAGACCAGGAATAGTGGACACACTTCAGTCCTTAATTTGGGGGTTGTTCCTTTTTCTGTGACAACCTTGATTAAGAGACTAAGGTAGTCTCCTTTTAAAGATACAGTAGATTGTTATTTAAAGTCAGATATAAAGATGAAGCAATTTAACCATTATTTTAACTTAAGATTTGTTGTTTGTTAGCTCACCTAAACGCTAACTTTCCATACTGTTCAGTCCTGGGCAAAACAAATATTTTGAAGTTAATCCTTTCCTCTGATATAGACACAAGTACTTACAGGATGCTATAGCGGGCCAAAAATGGGTTGCTCCATTTGCAGTTACTTTTCCTTGTTTCTTTTTTATATTTCTCCCTTTCTTATATGGATGCATAAAATGAGTATACAAAGTACCACTTCTACAGTGGTTCTTATTTTGACTGGGCCACTGTGGATTTTTATTTTTTTCAATTTTGATGTGACTTGGTCAAAATTCTGGTTTCTAGGAAACGAGCTACTTTCATTTTTATTTTTTGAATATTTTATTAATCAGATTTATATTGCTGCCTATATCATACAAAATGATTTTGGGCAGTGTGCAACAATAGAATAAAATGACAGATAAATAAAAAATAATAATAACATATTAAAATAAGAATATTTTTTTAAAAACCCACAGTGTGCAAGAACATCAAACACAGTGGAGTCATTTACCATTATGTCTGTTTTCCAAGGAGCTCCAGGTCTGATGACATAACCAGCTCTTGAGGGGCTTTTGGTGGCAGGGTTGAAGCTTGCCTAACTTTGTGGGGAAATGGGAGAACGCTGTGTAAGGTGGATGCCATGGCGGAGAAGGCTATCCTCCTGAGACCCACCAAATACAGGTCCCTGGCCTATGGAACCCAGGACATGCCTTCTCTGCCAGAATTAATGGGATGGGCTGATGTAGTTGGGGAAAGGCAACACTTGGAATTGGGCTGGAACCAACACAGCCCATGAAGCAGAGATATATGTGCTCTTCAAGGAGCACGCATAACAGCCTGCAACTCTGCATTCTGCACCAGTCGAAGCTTTTGGATACTCTTCAAGGGCAGCCCCATGTAAATAACATTACAGTGGTCCAATCTGGAGGTGACTAGGGCCTCCTGATCAAGGAAGATGTACAACAGATGCACAACATGAAGCTGTGCAACACTCCCCCAGCCACAACTGCTCTTTGAGGAGTCTAGGACAGAGCTGTCAAATTCCTGGGCTGGATGCATCATACCCACACCCGGTTTAAGCAAAGGGGGGAAAAAAAGTTGTGATATGTCAGGTGACACTGCCATGACGACCTGAGTTAGACATCCCTGATCTAGGAGCCCAAGACTGCGCCAAGTCTGTCTGGGGCAATATCACTAGATCAGCATCTAAGATCATACACAGAAGCAGATCAAGCTAGTAGTATTTTGTGGAAACAGTGTAAGACCGGAAGAGAGTTAACCATAGATGTTCTACTGGGTGTTTGCAATATACTCTCTTGAAAAGTAATGATTTATTGTGGTATATGGATTCAGTGAACAAAATTCACTGTTTATATACAATTGTAATCAAATGATAGACTGTTGTATGGAATTGCAATATATTATCTAATCAAAGATTCATTTTTTATTTTGAATATTACAATTGCGATTTAATAAACATGAATTGCAATACGTAAAACAATTTGGAAATAAATTCCACTGAATTCAGGAAGCTAAACTTTTAGTATCCCTGCACAGTATAAAGTGCTTAGGACTGCAGAGACAACTACGCATCTATTTTCCTTCCCATCCATTATTAGTATCAAGTTTGTCAACCCGTTAACAGCACCTATTATTTCTTAAAGCGGCAAACAGAGCGGGAGCAAAGTGTTTACGCAGCACACTCCTTTAGCGCATGCTCTGTTTAGCGGATTGAAGCAAACCGAGGGCGGGCGAAGAATCTTCCCGTTTAGAACGTGTTACGTCACAATTTCACATTCTTCCAATGGGTAGTCTGAGACCGGAAGACAACACAAAGCCGCTGAGCGAACCGCTGGTTGCTCTCTAACCGGAAATAACCGTTGTAAAGTCAGTCAGAAGTTAGCATGAATGTCCGGGCTTTCTCGTTACTCCCTGGGTCCTAAAGCCCGCCCAGAAAAAAAAAACCCGGTGCCTTGCAGATAGTTCATATCCGATAGCTTGGCGATCTCATGATTGCTGCTTTCAAATACAGGCGCGGCAAACAGGTACGAAGATGGGGAGGGCGGCAGATTTCGACCGTGGCGTTACGGTAGATCGGTAGGAGGGAAGAGTTGGAAACCAGGAGGAGGAATGTTTGGCTTGAGCTGGAGAGAAACAGACAGACCGAAGATGTATTGCAGAGCCCCGTCGTTTAATCCGGATTGATCAGGGAGGTGTGAAACAGGGATTACAAGCAGCGGTAAAACCGGCAAATTCTCCAACGGTTGTTGCCCTTAGAAGGAGGAATACTCGTTTTATAGGAAGCAGGATGAAAGCAATCGAAATTCACTTGTAGAGGCTTTCCTAGCCCCGAGGCGTGAGAAAACTATACGTGAGAAAACTATACATGAGAAAACTGCCGCTTGTTGAACCCTTTGCAGTTTTTCTGAAACTATCAGTGTTAGGATCTTAGGTGCGACGAAGTTATCTCGAGTCTTAGCCGATGTGATCTTGCCCTATATAAACGATAGAAACATACACATGACACCTTTTGCTTCTCTTTCAAATGTGATTTCCTTCCTTGGTAGATGGTATAAAATCTTACCCCAGTTGATTTAAGGATGGTCCGGATTTGTTTCAACCATTTAAAAGCTCTTTAACTGGGTATGATTTTGGCATCTGTCTACATTAGGGAGAAGGGTTCTATCCACAGTTCCACCCTATCAGCCCTTTGAGGTTAGTTGGGTCGGAAACAGACACCAAAGATCCCAGAAATGCCATTTTATTGTTGCACAGTGTAATAACTGAGGCTTGCAAATTTGATATATTCACTCCCCTTCTCTGCTGTCCCCCAACACCAAAGAGGATCAGGGTGGAGCAATCTTGAGTTCCTCATTCCCACAGCAGCTGTTCATATACTTTCCTCAAGGCCATCTTGTACTCACACACCTTGTACTCACACACTTTATATCAGGGTTGCCAAATTGAGTTATACTTTCCTTGAGCGGGTCCAGAGAGAATCTAGGGAAGGTATGAAGAATTGTTTAATAGTTGTACATTGTTACAAAAAAGTCCACCTTTTCCACAGTTTTATGCTATTGTTTTAATTGTTCATTTGTGTTCATTTTGATATTTGGATTTTTAGGGGAAGCATGGACATCAAGACTATATTAAAGAGAGGTATGGGGCAAAAAGTTTAAGAGACTCTTTTGCCTTTTATTGACAAGAGCCAGACGGTTTGTATGATCCAGAAGACTTTTATTTAGATATAGTTTTGGGGTCTTCATTCTGGGTTTGAATAGATTATGGTAGCAACAAGGAAGTCAAAGTAAATGTCTTGCCACAAATTCTAGAACTACAACTGGCTTAACTGTAATCAGTTATTTAGGTGAAACAGAATGAGTTGGTTTGGTGGATTTGCTTTTTCCAAGTGAAAAAGTCTCTAACACAATGTCCATTAAGGGAACTGTTTTTGCTGATTCATCTGTTAAACAATCTAGTGATAGTTATCACTGAATTCCAGTTTACTGCAAAAAAAATTGAACAATTGCAGCCAATATACTCCAAATTGTAATCCTTTAGAGGTACTGACCTCAAAATCTCCAACCAGAAGACAGATAGGGATAATGGAAGCTGTACAGCTGGATGACATGATGGCTCCATTACTGGAAGTTTTTAAGAAATGATTAGAGAGCCATTGGTCCAGAATAGTATAAGGTCTCCTGCTTGAAAAGGGAGTTTGACTAGAAAACTTCCAATGTCCCAACTCTTGTACTATTCCTGAAAAGTTGGGAAAAGCTGCTTTAGGCATTAATTTTTAACCAGTGAATTGGGAGCCCTTGTTGAATTGCATTGCCACTATGGATTTCTTTTGTTGCTTTTTCAAGCTGAACAAAGGGACTAGCATATTTATATTATTTCCCAAATTTATATCCCATGTTTTCTTCAGGACTCAAAGTAGCTTGCACCAGAATCTGCATTTTATCCCTATGACCTTGTGGTAGGTAGGTCTAAAGGAGCAAGTTCCTGTTTTTAAGGATGGTCTGTCCAGACTTGATCCAACATTTTAATTTCTACACCTACATTGGTTGTAGAAAATTTATTGATTGTAGTGGCAAAATGAGAATATTAGAAACACAACCTACTATTCAAAAAGGTACTTCGGAGTGCATCCCAAATGCCTATTTTTGGAAATCCGCCAAAATTTATGTTTTTTCTTAGGCCTATTTTTTATTTCTTAAGCTGTTTCTTAAGCCTATAATCTATTTTTGTAACATGAAGATGAGTGGAGATGGAAATAATGACATTAATAAAGAAATTTAAAGTTCATGTTGTGACTCTTTGGATTATTGCTGGCTTCAGTAAACTATTGGGCATATACTTTAATAATAAAGAATTCTATAATTTGTGATTAAATCCAAATATATTATTGCAAAAATGGTGTGACTGAGATATTTATTTAAATCTGTGTATTGTAGGTTTTAATGTGACTCAAGAAATCGGAAAAGAAGTGATGTTTGAAATCTTGTGGTGCAAACAATAATACCTATGAAAATAGCATTGTTTGTTCAGAGAACATAAAGTAGAAAATTAGTTGTAATGGATTCTCAAGTGAATTACTCAATCTCTGAAATGAAACGGTGAGTTTAATTCTGATAATTAACAAAGAATACAGTTATGAAAATTTCTGTTCTCTCTTTTGACCATGTAAACTTCTGCCATTTTCTAATTCTATCATATGAAATTTCTAATAGAATGTTAACTGTAGAAAAATACATATTTGGAGAAAATGTTTAGTACCAGGTGGCAATTGAGGATGTACAAATCATGCTGTTAATACTTCATAATTTCAGATTTCACAGTTTGAAGTAATATTACAATAGCTATCAGATAATTAGCCCATCTATAGTGCAGGTATCTTAGTGGAAATTCAGCTTTCTGTAGGATTGTGTTAGCTTACTGTAGGTGCTTTTCAAAGTAACTCCCCATACCTGCATCACAAAATTGTTAGCAAGTTTTGGTTGGAAATAACACACAAACATAGGATTGTGCTATAAATGAATACAAGACAACATCCCTTGATAAAGCATTTCTGCAATCCCTTTAAGAATAGCAAAATACTGATATACACACATACATATAAACATATATACTTTACCCCTCACATGCATACATATGGTTTTGATGGTTTTTCAATCCAGTTTTGCTAATTAACAAAACATCACTAATCAAAGCAAAAGGATAACTTATTTTCCAAATTCCGTATTTTACTTACCAAATACAATGGCAACTGTTAGGATAACAAAAATTGATAAAAAAAGTGCAGCTTCCTTCCTAATGAACAGTACCATTTCAACTGTGAGATTGAAATTATTCAGAGAAGTGTACTTAGTCCCCTTCAGAAGTTTGCTTCCATTTTCTCTTCAAAATGTGATATTTAATGAAATCTTTTTAAAACTTTGTATATTTGCCTACTGGCAAGGTTTTTTTTTTTTAATGGGGCAGCTTGGCTTTTCCTCTTGTTTTACCATGTTTATATTTGTCTTTTCCTGCTTACTATCATGTCATATCTGTATCATTGTTTTTATCCCTGAATTGTTCTGCCAATCACTTCCTATGTGATATGAAAAGTGGATGCAGTACTTTCAAAAGTTGTCTAGTTTTCCATGTATGGTATATTATATAAAATAAAATGGGTATTTTATCACACTTCCTCAGCTGTCAATGCAAGGAAAAAAACACTTTGTTATTCCATTGGAATGGTTACCATAGTTACCTCACTAACAGGTACAAGATTTCATTTTGTTTTGTGAACTTCTCCCTTTTATTTCAGAAGCTGAATGAGGTTTGTGAATTAAGAATTGTATGCAGTTTTCATATATTTTGTATTTTGATGCCTAAAAAGATAACATTAAGAGAGTTGTGTGTGTGCATCTTCCAGTAATTATGAATTAATAGTAATTAGAGTTGAGGCTTGGTTCATCAGGGTAAACTTATTTTCCCTTGACATCAAGGAGGCCAGTCAACATCTCCCTCTGTTTCTCATTAAATGAATGTATGGGGGCTGGCAAAATGCAAAACATCTATACTTTAAAAGCTATGCACAGAAAATATTTTATTCTGTTGCAGTCAACATGATAAGCCGTTCCTCCTGGACTTTCCCCTTCTACAAAATTATTAGAACTGCATTTTTAATGAACAATGCTGCCATATTTTTCTAAGTAGAGTTGGAAAAATGCTGGCTGAACAAAATAAGTGTTATTTTTAATTTTATTTCTTCAAGAGAGAGAATGTAACAGATGTAAGGTTTGAAAGGGATTGATTTTATTACGAGAAGCATAATTTGTGCTTAATTTATTTCTACCCTACCTTCATTTTTCAGGGTGACTCACAACCCTTCAAAATATATTCATATAAAGCAGAATTTTTAAATCAGTACATTTAGCATTAAATAACAAAAAGTTGATAATCTTTAAAATGTCCTTCAGTGAAATGCAGATGCAGATGTAGGTAGCTTTAGATAGATACATTCTTGAATTGCAGGGGTTGTGAACTGGAAGCAAAACAGTTCCAATAATAGCCACCTCCAGAGTATATTACCTTGGAAACAAATCTTATAAATTGAGTGGGACTTAGTTCTGAGTAAGAAATTCAACCTTGCTGCCTCGATTATTTGAAACTTCAGAGCTGGTATGACTGAGACCATTTGTAGTGAAAAGTCCTTGTATTTTTAAAACAGGAACTTTGGAAAGACATTTCTCCACAAGCACAGTGAAGCTGATATGGAAACAAAGGAAGATCTGAGAAGGAAACTCCATCAAGCCAAGAAAGATAAACTTGACATAACTGCTAAGCATAATGCAGAGGTAACAATTTCAATGCTGTTGGGCTGTGTGTTCAACATTCTTACACAAACTACTCATCCTGTTGATGTTGATGGATGGCTTTCTCCAACTTGCCACATTTCTGATGTATCTAAAGAACTACATCAGCCTTCATAATGCTAATGAAGGGATTTGTATTAGGCCTGTGCACTCTTGGACCCTGATTTAAAATAACTTATCTAAATCTTGTTCCAGTCCAGTCTTTGTGGTATTAAAACTATTGCAATTCTTAGAGCAGCTGCAGGATTTTTTTATTTTGCAGGCTTACACAAAAGCCTAAAAGAGGAAGCTGCCTTAGTGAGTACCAGAGGTACTGTGCTTCATGAGATCCAAAACACTTTTAAGTTGTAGTCAGAACATGGAAAGCCATATTTAAGATTCTTCCAAATGTTTCTTTTTTTTTTCTTTGATTTTTTCCCATCTCTTTTTTGTTAATGAGAAACCAGAATATGGGTATAATTCTTAAAATTCTCATGGGGCAAAAACTTCATTTATTAAAAAAAACCCCAAATGATAGGTTGTATGAGATTAAAAGAAATCAATAATCTACTTTAGTGGGGTCTTCTAAGTTAGATGTGGTTCTAGCATTTTTTTAAATTGTTACTTAATTTGCTTTTCACAATGGCATGCCCATCAAGAGTTAGTTTCTAACATAACATTTTTATTGTTTTTTATTTATAAAATGGTGTTAATAAAATTTGTTTTTATTATACAATGCATTATGTTATTTTGGTACAGCGGTATTTTATACAGTGTTGACTAGAGATTCATAACACTCTAAGATATAAATGACTTAGACTATTAAAAAGAAAAAGAAACGGCATTATATACTGGTGTAGGCTTTCATGACCGGTATCTGTTGGGCAACATTATGCTTCAGGGTTTAGAGATTGTGGTCTAGAAAACAGATTTCCTGATGTTTCACTGGGAACTCCACAGGTGCCTTCCACAGTTGCCAGGAAATGTCAGTCAATCTGTTTTCTAGACCACAATCAGTAAACCCTGAAGCCCATTACTGCCCAAAAGATATTAATCAGTTCAAACTGTTTAAGTTGTTGATCTTAATAAGCATAGGATTATTTAGCTTTTACAACCAAAGCTGAATGTAAGGGGATTGTTGTTTAAGAAATACAAGTCAAAAATTCCATTAGGGCTTGTGGAGTAATTATGTGTTCAATGAGATTCCTGCTGTAATTTCCATCTTGCTTGTAATATAATTCCTGTTGGACTTGGAAAGTGGCTGGAGATAATGCATTTCTTCTCAATTGATGAAAAGCCTGAAGGCTGCATGCAGCTTCCAACTCATTGAGATTGTTCTGCAGAAATTCAGCAGCAAAATGAGGAAAATTTGATTTCTTGATTTTTGCATGTTTCCTAGGCTTTGAGGTGGCTTTAAATATAGGACTAGAAGCTGTTTGCCTCTCTGAGACCTCCTATTCCTACCTTTAATCTTCCTCATGCAAAAAAAAAAAAACCAACCCAGAAAAAATAGCTTCAAAAAGCTACCTATCTTCTTCCTTCACAAATATGAATTGGTAATCTCCCACAGTCCTTATAAAATTGGGGTGCTAAGATAAGCTCACCAATTTTCAAAAGTGGAATATTTTAAAATAAAGCAATTTCCAATGTTATTTTATGCTGAACTGCATTGCAGTGATGATTGCAAAGTGATCATGCAATAATCAGAATATAGACCTGGCTGGTAAGTTCTTACTTAACATTAAAACTGCAATTGGGATCATTGTAAGCAATGCAATTGTTAAGTGAAACATCACATGACCATGTCCGACTTATGATGCCAGTTCCACCATGGTTGTTAAAAAAATCACTTGCAGTTGTTCAATGCAGCCTTATGTTTACTATGACTTGTAAATTAATACTGGCTCCCCAATTCACTTTACTTAATTCAAGGATAGTTGCAAATCTACTTTTTCAGCACTGTGGTAAGTTTGAACAGTTGCTAATTAGGTAGTCAAGGACTACCTAAAATGATTTAGAGCAGAAAATGAAAATAATAAAAGAGTTTTGATGTGCAAAGCCTGTCTTCCATTGCATATGAGCTACTGTAAGTCTCATTTATTCAACAATGAAAAAACACTTCAACAATTAACGAACTTAAAATCAGCTAACAAAGCAGCATTCAAATGAAATGAACATTTGAAGTGAAAAAGTTATGGACATTGTGAGTGGAAGTATGATGAGTTTCATATAAACTTTGTGGTAATTCAATAGATGTTGACTTTCACGTTCTAATTTTCAGAACTTGAAAGTGAATTGTGAAGTTGCTGGTGGTAATAGAAATGCAGCAAAGACCTGCATCCTGATGTTAAAAGAAGCTATCAGTGAAAGTGATGAAACAGCACAGTAGATCCTTAGCTTTGATGGCACAGAATTGTCCTGGAAGAGAGCTTCAGAAAGAATATACACTTCCAAAGAGGAAAAGACAATGCAAGCTTTTATGGCTGTGAAATATCAACACATGCTTTTGTCTGGAGCTATTGTAGCAGGAGATGACAAATTAAAACTGTTTTATCATTGGAAAACCCTTTTGCATTTAAAGGCATTATAAAGAGTATCCTTTCTGTGCATTAGTGTTCAAATCCAAAAGCTCAACAGCTTTATTTCTAGACTGGAGATTCATCAACTGTTTTATTCCCGACAGGGAAAAACACTGCAGAGAGGAGGACATACAATTCAAGATTTTGTTTTGATTTTTATGGATTTGTAATGTTTTACAGTAAATATGTTAATTTCCAAGTAGGTAATTTAACAATCATGTAAAGGCATTTTGGCATCATAATAATAGGTGAAAGGAAAAAAAGGAAATTTTTCACAGACCCTTCAACCCAATTCGTTTCAAGGCATCTGAGTTTAAAGAGTTACAGAATATGAGTATTCAAAAAAATGATGTATGAGTAACCTGTAATTTTTTTAAAAAATTTTTTATTTCATTTATAGCTGTCAAATTATGAAAGCCAGATTGCAAAACTGCGAGCAGAAGTTGAGAAGGGTGAAGCCGTCCGACAAAGTCTGGAGTATGAATTAGCTGTAGCAAGGAAAGAAGTTGGTATAGAACGGTATTCATCAGAAGAAAAATTAGGCGGAGCAAACAAACAAATAGAACAGCTGCAAGGTAAAATTCAGAACATTTTCAATAATGAACAGATTTGTGAACATTTCTTCTGTGAACATAATTCAGTAACCGTGTTCTCCAGGCATAAATAGGGAATTATTATTATTCAGGTTATATTCAGGTCTGAATCTCCTGGGTCTTTTGCATTTTACTACCAATACTCATTGTTGTGTTAAGATCATTATTATGTTCCTTACTTAATTTCTCAGATTTAGAGTTTTTAAACTGACGCATTTTCATAGTCAGTTTCATTGATTCTGAACTTAGAGTCTATTTTTGTATAAAATGTAATGTAATATTTAATTTGTAACTTCTACATTTTTGCTTGGTTAAAAAGAATTCTATTTGTATCTGTGATTCATTTTTTTGATTTTATTTTGTTTTCTAATAGCAGGTGCTAACAGTTTAGAAAAATGATTCATAAGACTGACATTTGTAATATCCACATTTACTACATCTTATATATTTAGTAATATTTTATTACCCATCACTAATATCTCTTATACTTTAATGCAGAAAATACATCAGAATTATTGTTTTTCTTGGGCCCTGATTCTAACACTTCATTCCATTCCTTTTTCTTTTTTCTTGCTCATGTTTAATAGAGTAATATTTATAAGTAGCTTCATGGCATTCTATGCTTTACGTATTTCAATTTCTACATGCTTATTAATTTGGAAATATTTCTGGATTTCTTAAAAAAATTCTCAGTAATCTCATTTTTTTTAATAACAAGAGAGTGAGTGTCTATATAAATTTAAGATGGGAAAATATTTGGTCCCAAAGTCCTTGCAGAACTGGTACATAATTTTGAAATTGTTGTGATTTTGTTGAATGTTTATTACTATGTAATTAAAAAGATATTAACATGATAATCATGTTGTATACTTGGCTGAATAGCAGCTTTAAACTAGTGGATTATTTGTTTTCCAATTATAATAAACTGATGCCAGTTAAGCAAATTCATAATTTACATACAACTAGTAGCATTTTTCCTTCCTTTAAATTTACTCTTTTCCAAACATCAATTAAATTTTCATTTTTTCTGACCAATATTATCTGTTCCTACATTCCTGCAATTGTTTAATGTAGAATGTTTATGTAAAAAAGCTACATGTTCCTTGTTAGAACTGTAGATTGGCCCCATATGTGTCTGTCTATTTTACTATGTTCTTAATAAGACATTGCTGGACAATATCTGTCTAACACATCTTACTGTCAGCCTTGGCCACTTAGGTAGATACCTGTGGTATCTTCAAGATTCCTTGCTCCTACAACAACCCTGTGAGGTGGGTTGGGCTGAGAGAAAGTGACTGGCCCAGGGTCACCCATCTGGCTTTCATGGCTAAGGCAGGATTTGAACTCTTGGTTCTCCCAATTTCTAGCCTAATGCCTTAACCCAGAGGGCTTCAAACTTGGCAACTTTAAGATTTGAAGTCCACAAGTCTTAAAGTTGCCAAGTTCGGGGACCCCTGCATTAGCCACTAGATCAAACTGGCTCTTCTGTGTAACAAACATGTATACCAAAACATCTTCATTGATAGAAATGGCTTTTCACCTGTTTTTTTGTGTTGTTAATGTAAAATGGCAAATTTGAAAGGATTGTTGTTTTCAATAGAATAGTTATGGCAATGTTCACTGTAAAATCTTTGGTTTGTTGCTTTTTGCATATTGTTGGAGAAGAACCTATACTACTTTAATACAGATTTTAATTGTATTTGAGAATCACCTTGCATGTCTTTTCAACAGAAACCATCAGAGCTCTTCAGCAGAAATTGAATGAGGCAGAGAAAGCATTTCACATCAATAAGTGTCAGTGGGATGAAAAACAGCGAAGATTGATCAATGAGTTATCAGAAAAGGAGTTGCTTATTGGTACCTGTCATGCTGAATATGAAACCCTTTTGAAGGAAAGGATGAGATTGGATGACATTTTGAAGGTAAGCCTTTATTTAGTGGTGTCTTCAGGAAGTTCATGAAGGATGATGATGGTTATCATTGGAGTTCTATACGGTCAATGTTTCTCAACTTTAGACCACTTGAAGAGGGGTAGACCTCTGCTTTCAGAATTCCCCAGCTGACCAGTTAGATCTAGTGCAGGGGTGTCAAACTTGCATCATCACGGTGGTGTCACATGACATATCGGGACTTTTTCCCCCTTCGCTAAACTGGGCGGGGTCGGGGTCAACACGTGGTGCATCTGGCCCGCGGGCTGCGAGTTTGACGGTCTAGTGGTTGAGGAAAACACTGCCAATAGAGTAAAGAGCTTCAATGATAACCATCATCATCAAGCTTAGCTGGCTGGGGAATTCTGGGAACTGAAGTCCACCTGTCTTCAAGTGATGAAGGTCGAGAAACACTGCTCTATGTCATCATAGCATGTATGTACAAAGGGGCAAGGCTTAAGACAGCACAGACTTCTGGGAGTTGAAGTCCACCCATCTTGCAAGTGGTCAAGATTGAGAAACACTGCTCTATGGTATGCATCAACATGTACAAAGGGGCAGTGCTGTTGCCATTTTTCTGACCCACTCTGATGGTTGTTGCTGTATTTAATAGAAACTTTATGGTTCAGAAGAACGTAAACACATATTCTTATTAGCACAGTATTTTCTGCTCAGTTTTTTCCACAAAAAAAATTTTATTGGGTTCAAAAAAAAATCTTGCAGTTTAAAAGATACGACACAAACTAAAGAGGGATTCACTGAGAGAAGGAAAACAGAAAGTTTAGCACTTGCAACATTCTGGAACTGACTTTATCTGAAGGAATATTTTGCCTTTTGGCAACGGGTTTACCTTTAAATTGAGTTGATAATTTTATGTTTTCTAAAACACAGTGACAGGGAGAGGTGAGTCTTGCTCTGCAGAATGTGGGGGAAAATATTTTAAATTCAGGATTCTTTTCCTGTCCAAATATAGTAAGTCTTATTTTTCAGGCAAAGAGGTAAGCAAACTGCTAAAAGCTAAATAATTAAGTGGGAGATTGATTTTTTTCTTTGACATGACAGTGTTACTTGAGGTGAAGGAAAAACGTCTTAATGGTTCTTGGCCAGTGAAGAGTCTAGAGCAGTGGTTCTCAATCTTTTCTTCACCATGGACCCCCTTTAAATAACTTTTGTGGCAATGGACTCCCAAGACATAACTCAAGATTTAAATAATAACATTTCTTCAAGTCTTCATGGATCCCCCAGAGGTCCACAGACCACTGGTCTAGAGCATGGATATCCGACCTCTTGTTTTGCTTGGACCTCACTGAGTGAAAAGGAATTGTCTTGGGCCACATATAAAAGATACAATATAGTTAATGTATATAACTCACATAATGTTAAAAGTGTACAATCTGGTCATCTTCTTTTAATGACCGGCTAATCCCTTGCAGGATGGAGTCTGGGCAACTGAGTGTTTACTGGCCGGATGACCTTCCTGTTACCAATGCGGAGTTATATTCAGCAGATACATTCCCATCTTGCACAAAGAGAAAAATAGGTTGATTCTCTACCTAGGATCAAACTCACAGCCTCCTGATTGTGAGGCGAGAGCTCCACCTGTAGGCCACCGCACCACTTTTAAAAGCGTACAATCTGGTGGGGTGGCATTATTAGCTGTCCGGGGCCATACGTGGCCAATGGGTCACAAATTGGACATGCCTGGTCTAGCATGTGGTATTCTTTTAAGTTGCATTTCTTGTTTCGTCCAAGACATTGAAGAATGTAACCTACACTCATCTGAGAGTATAGTTGATGTTCTTTGGGTGGGGACTTTCTTGTCCAAGGTAGCCAGCAGTTTAATGCAAATGTTTCATGAAAGAAAAAGTAGTATTTTGTAGCTGAATTTAGCAGGGTCAGTTGAGAGAGAGAAAAGAGCGGGGGATTTTCACATGTTAAAAATTAATCTGATCCACAAAGCAGAGATGGACATTGTGTTCAGTAGCTTTTGCTCTGCAGTTCCCATCAGCACTACCTGTTCTCTCTACAGGAAAGGCTTGGTGGGAGTTGCAATTCAATAATGTTTATAGTGACCAATGTTGCTGTCCCTGTGGTAAATTATTTGCCCAAGGCAGAATTTCAAACCTGGATTAAACAAGAGTGTAGAATTTTGATTTGCAAGCAGAAAGATTGGAACTGTGGTTTGTTCAGATACAACGGCAGTTTTTCTTGCTTATTAAAGAAAGATATGTTTCACTTTCCCTTCAGTGTAGCCAAAAATATTATTTTTTCTTAAATCTTAGTAGTTTCAACTACAGGTAGTCCTCAGCTTACGACCACAATTGAGCTCAAAATTTATGTTGTTAAGTGAGAAATTGGCTAAGTGAGTTTTGGCCCATTTTACGAGTTTTCTTGCCACCGTTGTTAAGTGAATCACTGCATTGGTTAAATTAGTAACACGGTTGTTAAGTGAATCTGGCTTCCCCATTGACTTTGCTTGTCAGAAGGTCGCAAAGGGGGATCATGTACCCTCCGGGACGCTGCAACTGTCATAAATGTGAGCCAGTTGCCAAGCATCCGAATGTAAATCACGTGACAATGGAGATGCTGTAAGGGTCATAAGTGTGAAAAATGGTCATAAACCTCTTTCTTTAGTGCTGTTGTTAACTTTGAATGGTCACTACGTGAACTGTTGTAAGTTGAGGACAACCTGTACTATATCTGAATAAAGGTAGAATCCATTCCAACTGATTCACCGAGTGCACTGGAAACCTCATAAATAGGATAGGATGGGATGGGATGGGATGGGATGGGATGGGATGGAATGGAATGGAATGGAATGGAATGGAATGGAATGGAATGGAATGGAATGGAATAGAATAGAATAGAATAGAATAGAATAGAATAGAATAGAATAGAATAGAATAGAATAGA